TGCACTATGTATAGTAATTTAAGTGTTGGGGTATAGTGTTTTGTATCTTAAGCGCATGCGTTTTGTTCATCTGTGTATTTTGTTTTCAGCATTGCGTTATATGTGTTTATCACAGCATATTTATTTTATGTGTATGTCCAATGTGTAGCGCACTATATGCATCTGTCACTGAATAAGTATTTGCCTCAATGGCAGCACTGAATGTACATTACTATTGCTTCTGTATTGCGCTCGTAATATACTCATGTCTCCGAATTATAACTTATGTGTCACGCATATCGTCTCCTGCATATCTGCATTTTGCTTCTTGTACCTTTTGTATATTTTGCGCATATGAGTACAGTATATGTGTATATGTAATTATTATTGTAAATTGCAAGATTGCAATAATTGCCAGACTGCAATTTATCGCCAGATTGAAATGTGCGCCTGTGTACGAAATAACCAAACTTTGGAAATTGCCATTTGATTTATAATTATGCTATCGCAACAACACTGTGCGCGGAAAATGCTTATATTTGATTTTAATACGTAATGTGTACATTATAATGTTTAATTATGTGTAATTATGTTTACTTGGGTGTTTTAATTATGTTGATGTAATGTTTAATTATGAGTATAATGAAATTTGCGTAATGTGTTTTAATGCGCAATGTATGTAACATGTTTTATATCTCTGTTACTTATGTGCAATGGGTATAGTAGTTTTATGTGTCGGTGTATAGTGTTTCGTATATTAAGCACACGCGTTTTGCGCATCTGTGTATTGCGATTTGTATCAATTGTGCATGAGTCTTGCTTTACATATGCTTATCACAGCATATTGTATTTTATGTATGTCTAATACGTATCGCATCATATGTATACCCTGTACAAGTACTTGCCTCTATGGCGGCATTGCTCGTACACTACTATTGCTGCTGTACTGCGCGCGTAAATGCTAATGCATTAATTTATTACTTATGCGTCATGCATATCATTTCCTGCGTTTTGTACCTTTTGTATCTTTTGTGCTTATGAGTATTGCATTACATTTGCTTATTATTGCACTTTATATCATTGTATATTGCATTACTTCTATTGCACATCGTATTACCTCTATGGCTTCACTGATTGTACACTCTATGGCTACTGCACTGTGCGCGTAATATGCTAATATCTCCGATTATTACATATGTGTCCTGCGTAAAGTGTTCTGTGTATTTGTGTATTGCGTTATGTAAATTATATGCATATGAATTCTGCACTATATGTGATTATTACTGTATTACTGTATATTATATTACCTCCGTTGCATATTGCATTGCATCCTGTGTCCTACGTACTGCATCCCATGTATCCGTGTACTGCGTCTGGTATCAATTGTGCATATGAGTACAGCATAATATGTGTTTATTATTGCACTTTGTATTATTGTATATTGTATTACCTCTATTGCATATTGTATTACCTCTACAGCCACATTGATTGTACACTACTATCGCTACTGCATTGCGCGCGTTAACATGCTAATATCTCAGATTATCACTCATGTGTCCTGCGTAATGTGTACTGTGTACATGTGCACTGCGTTACGTATCTTCTGAGCATGTGAGTATTGCATTATATGCGTTTATTATTGCATATTGTCACTGTACATTGTATTACCTCAATTGCATATTGTATTGTGTATTGTATTAAGTGTTTAATTGTTTTTGTGTACCTTCTCAAGTGTCTTTAAGTGTTTAGGTGTCTACGTGTCTGAAGCGTCTTAGGTGTTTGAAAGTTATAGGTGTTTTTAGTATTCATGTATTCTTTTTATTTATTTATTTATTTATTTATGTGCACATTTCATGTGTGTTTATGCTCTGTTTAATGTACAAACAAGACTGCCCCACCCACAAATGTACATCAAATTTCAATGTAGCACAATGTCGCCCTTGTATGGCCATGTTTAATCTGAATGGAATATCAATAAGCTCCAGGTGCGGCCTTGTGCGGCTCCAGGGAGTTGTTGCATCTGGTTAGTGGAAGGCGTGGGACATATGCCTGCTTACCCCTGTTAAACACCAGGCGTCCCCGTCCTGAAAGGATAAAAACAATTATGTTAGCGGGAGTGAGTACAAGAGCAGAATGCTAACCTTCTATATTAAGCGAGAGTTTAAAAATCCTTAACAAATGCTCTCGTGTGACTTAAAAATCTGAATCCTTTCATATTTTCCTTTTTTAAGCTGCTTTTTAATACTGTTTTATTCAAACATTTCGCTAGAAATTCGTGATATTAGAAAGAACTAAATTTCGCTGTTAAAAAACGTTAACTACTCCAAGGAAATAAGAACTCTATGAAGCAAAAAATCATTTAGGGCAACATAATTTATACTGTAATGAAAATATTATTAAAGCATCTTCTTTAAATCATTCGGTCCAGTGTTCGCAAGAGCAAAGAGCGATTGAAAAAGAAGCATAGATTCCTTTGATCAGAAATAGATGCGTATGGTTTTGCAACTAGCTTTTTTTTTTTTTTTTTTTTTTTTTTTTTTGCCAGATTTTTCAGCTTCTGATTCCACTATTCTCCATTATCAAGATCTCTACAGGATCAACGTTTTCTAGCAATTCAAGATATTCACAATGACGCGACGGCCGCCAGTCTGTAACAGATACCAGAGAGGCATTTTACCACTGCTCTCAAGAGTATGAGGAGCTCTGGAGCAAGTGTGTAAGCTCCGATTGATTTTATTTCGATAGTGATTAGACTCCTACTAGTGATTAGATAATATACATACATGTATATATATATATATTATGCTAGTGATTAGATAATATATATAGTTAACTATACTTTAAATTAATCAATCAAGTCTTCTAATTAATTTATTTTTTATCAGAAGATCTGATTTAGATTAAAGTGGTTGGTTATTTTACCAATTTAAATTTTCGTTCTTTCAAAGATGCCGAAAATGGAAGTTTCAGGTTTTGCAAAGGATTCATTCAGGCGATTTTCTAATTGGTTACATACAATAAATATCAGATGTTGGATGAAAATAGTGGTTATTAAGACAAGACATTGTAACGACACGTGTAGAGATAATCAGCACGTAAAGGAGGTTTACGGAAAAAATCATACCTGACTTTCTTTGAAAATTCAACTGCTCTATGAAATTGATATATTTTCGCTAAGATGTCATATTTTAGCGAGGGTATTTTAAAAATTTCAGTCAGCTCTCAATCTGTATTCTTTCCTGCAATATCTCCTTTTCACATAAGGCCTTATACTACAACAAATACAATTTTTTATAGAAATTTAAATTTTAGTCTATATTATATTTAAATTTATATTTTCTATAGAACATATTTTATAGATTTTTATAGAATATTTAAATTTCTATTTTCTATAGAATATTTAAATTAAAATTTTTTCATTTAATTTATGTAGAATAAATTTCTATAGATCAGAAAGGAGAAATTTAAATTTTAGTTCTATAGAATATTTAAATTTCTATTTTCTATAGAACATATTTTATAGATATTCTATTGAATATTTAAATTTCGATTTGCTATGGAACATATTTTATAGATAATCTATAGAATATTTCTATAGAATATTTAAATTTCTATTTTCTATAGAATATTTAAATTTAAATTTTAGTCAGCTCTCATTCTGTTTTCTTTCCTGCAATAGCTCCTTTTCACATAAGGCCTGATACTACAATAAATAAGATTCTATAGAATATTTAAATTTCTTATTAGATATAAGTACAGAAGACAAACAATTTGATTGATTGATTCAGATACATAAAGTTTAGTTTTTAGGGATCGATTACTTTCTTTCTGTGTAGTTAGCATGTGGCTGTTGATTCTCAGCAAGTAAGATTCAGTAGCTTCTGCAAGTAGTTAAGACCACAGACCTGAATTAAATGCAATAAAATTAATTATTCCGAGGCACTGAAAATCTGAAAAGAAAGTGTATTATTTAAAATTAAAAACCTGGTGACAGCAGTTACTTCTCGTGCTTATAAATGTTAATTTTAATTCATTGTTATTATAAACAAAGCTGAACTGAAATTGTATGTTAGATTTTTTTTTACAAGTTGTAGTATTTTTGCACATTTTAGTTTGTTGTTAAATAAAATCAATTCATTAAAAATTAATAAAGTTAATTCGTTTTATTATTACAATGTATATTGTATTCGTTTATTGAATTAAATAAAATTATTATAATGAATTAAATAAAATTAACTCATTATAACAAGCCATAAAATCCTCCCATCACACTAATGCCTAAGGAGGAAATAAAATGAGGGATGGAGCCATTCGTAACATTACCATACCCTCGAACCTCCCGGAATGAATTAATTTCTTTTATTTCCTACATTAGTATTTTTTATCGAGATATAACACTCTGAATGCACTGAAAGGTAGGCTTGAGTAACGATGATGATAATAATAATAGAAACTTTTGATAAACTTAACAATTTATTTTACCTCTGTGCCATTCAGAATTAATAACTATTCATATTATTTTCAAAATGTGTGCTGTGCGAAATATGCTAAGAAAATAAGTTTATAACATAAATTTTACAAGTTGTTGCAGCAGTTAAAAAATTCAATCCGCTATCATGACAGACTTTTTCAAGACTAGATTCTTAGCATGCTTGGAATAGTGGAATTACATAACAGCGTGTTGACCTTTTAAGCGTCGAAATTTCTTCGAAATATCATGGAATGGGGAAGGGTGCGGAAATCCAAATGCGAATATAGTGATAAACGTTAACACTTTTTCTTGCCTAATCGGTAGGTCATCCTTCTCATCATCTCTCTCTTATGTTTCCTTACATATTTTGCTGACCGACATTCAGGCAGAGAAGTTTTGCAAAATAATCATTGTGCCTTTGCAAGAACGTGATCATGCAGAATCTTCTGCCATGCGGCTGTTCCCACATTCTGTCGAAACTGTTTACCAGGTACTGACGCAAGTATTAGATAAGATAACACCGAAGTGCTGCATCACGAGCCCTGTCTCCGTCTTTTCCCTTCCACGCGACCATCGCCGTTCGACGTTTAAATAAATGGCCACCGTTGGAGCTTCTGACCAAACAGAAAACGAAATGGTACGAAACGAGCAACACCGTGTTCACGACGGCTCCAGGGAGCACCATGGTACAGGGGAGACCTTTCTTTTTACTTCCGAGTCCGTAGGCGAGGGACATCCTGGTGAGTTGGCAACAATTGTTACTGAAATGCTTGTGCTGTCCCTTTCTGGCTTAGTATCTACTGCTTCAAAAAGCACAATATTTACAGCTATATGACTGCTAATGCAATTAATTAACAGTTTGAATGGATATATGTTTTTTTATTTTGAAAAATAATTTTTATCAACCTGAAAGAAAAGTATTGCAGTACTGCTTGTATTCTACGGATCAGTATAAGATCTAATATTTTTGTTCTTACATTTAAGATTGTTACATAGCACGATCATTTTAGAAACATCAGTTACATTTTCTATCACTTTGCAACTGTTAAAATCGCGAGTTTCCTTAGGAGCAACGTTGTCAACGATAGGGTCGAAAATATAAAATTTTAAAATAATACATTCGGATTACTCTTTTCAGAACCTGATAGATATGCAATGATTCTTTCATCCAGATTCTAGGACCCAAAAAGTCTTCCCAAAAATCAGAAAAAAATTTGCAAAACATAATTCTTTTTAGGAATCGAAAATACCTAAAATTCAGGACACTGTGTAAAATTCGCGTATATTGTTGAACAGTTTTGAAAAATTTCAAGTAAATGTACTTTTTGTATAAATCCTGAGTGAAGTCTGGCTATTTTTATTACAGTGCGGAAATTAGGAGTAATATGATGCTTTGTATTCCCTGGGATGAGAGTTTTCATTGCGATGTTTCTGCTTGAGACGGTCACTAATTTACTTTGCACATTGATAAAACATCATACAATGAAACTCTTCAACCAGGAGTCAGTAGCTTTACCTTTTGCTATTGATCAGCACTCTGAAAAAAAGAAAACATTTTACGGCTGAGGAATTAGCAACGTCATAGATTTAAAAAAATGTGATCAATTGAAAATAATTTAATACAAGAAAATTAATTGCGCTTAATCAGAAGACCAACTCAGGCAAGATTTATGAACATTTTACTTTCTTTCATATGTCTTTTCATATGAAATTTAAGCACTCGTTTAATTAGATTAATGTAATCCTTTCACTTATCCACCACGCAGAGACTTTTAAAATGAAAGAAGAAATGAAAAATGAAAGAAGCCTAGCTAAAATTTTTGTAATTAAAATTCGTAATATCTTAATGTAATTATTGAAACTGCTGTCATAAGAACAGAAACATTACTGATTTAGGATTTTTGTGACCAGCATACTTTCTTGTTAACCTGTTTAATTTTTCAGTTTAAAATACTGTAACCTTTAAAATCATTAAAATTATATCTGATATAATTTTAAATAGTTATATCAGTTAGATATATTTTTTACTATTTATCTAAAGTACTAAAACTGATTTAAAGTACATTTGAATTATAATCTATTCCACTGATAATTTCTAAGAGCATTTACAGCATTATAGTAACTGTAATTGCATTATTGTAAAAATGTTTCTAGCGCAATGCATTACCTACCTGGAACAACATAATTTCCTACTCTTTAATCGTTTTACCTCTCACAAAATCACTAACGACATCCACAGGTTTATTAGTGTTCCATGAATCCGGATGAGAACATTCTGAACTGATATGTCATTAGGTTTGTGTTTTAATTCAACAGAAATTTCAGTTTAAAACTAAAAAAAAATTCTGAAAGCTTTAGGATTTTACATTATTCCCAAACGGGCGTTATTTTCATTTACAGACACATACACGTTTTGAGAGCATTTGGATCAAAAATATTTAAAAGCAGCATATCTTTAGAATTTCCGATAGACAGTCTCGCGTGCTGCAGATAAAAGTAATTATTACCTACAGTGTTGCCACTGCTCGCTTTGAAACTGTTGAATTTTGTAATAAAAAAAATCTTTAAAGTTTTATAGAATAGGAATTAGACAAGCGATAGAAACAAACAAACAAACAAACAAACAAAAAAAAAAAAAAAAAAAAAAAAAAAAAAAAACTATATAAGCAGAAAATTTCAATCAGTTCATACTTTTACCTTAGGAAATTCTTTTTATTCATCCCATAAAAAGTCACTTTTTCATTTTCTGCAGCATCTTTCGTTTCGTGTGTCATTCTTGACGTATTTCTTACAACTTAGTTAGAAAATTACTCCTATGGTGTTAATTATTTATTCATGTTTATATAACGAAAAGTTAATAATTTATTCAATGTTACGTAAACGAAAAGTTAATAATTTCCGCGAACCTAGTGTTAAAATCGATGTAGTCAAATTTCACCAGAATTTTATCATGAGAGAACCGTACGAATTAATCGCAACTGAAAATGAGTTTTACAATCAACTTCCTGTTTTCTTTTGATTGAGCATTTTATACAAAGATATTATTAACATGTATTAATATCGTCCTTTAATTTATATTCGTATGCAGCTGCTTGTAAACGCTGGCATAAAGTCTGTAAATAAAACTATTGCTCATGCCACGAATATTTATCGATTCATTGCCCCCCTCCCCATTATCTTGAAGGGAAATAACAGCCAGCAAAATTCAGACATTTTCGGCAATGTGAGCAGAAATGATAAAAAAATAGAGATCAACATCATACTAACTTCCGATTGAGACATCAACACGAAGGTAAAATAACACAGAACAACGTCTAAGAGGCTGTCAAAAACAAAATGTGAACACACATTTTGAATAACTGGCAAGTTTCCTATTTCGATGCCATATTTTTTTTAGCCCAAAGGGCCGGTAGCCCGAAAGGGCTATTAGTTTCGAAATGGTATTCTGCGTCGTTTCACTATAAATGTCAGTTTCACTTTTCAGATTGTTGTCAACAAATATTACGGCCGTGTATTATATTTAAAGAAATTAAATAATGAAGAATCTGCGTGAATGTAAGTATGTTTCTCGCATTGTGCAAAAACGACGGTACCTAGAGCCACCAAATTTTGAACAACGTAATCCTCCACCCGAACATGGGCACCTGGACCTCCCGAAATTCGAATTTATTTTATTATCTATTTCATATATGTAAAATTTTTGATTAACAAACTCAACGATTTCAAAACCAGCAATGGCACCACTGTACGGAAAATAACATTTTCATCTCCAGCGCGCGAGACTATCTATCAGAAATTCTAAAGATATGCTGTTTTTAAATTTTTTGTGATATTGCTGTTGAATTTTATGTGATTTAAGTGCAACGAACATGATATTTAATAAATAAAGGTAATACACAAAACGTTAAAAAAAAGGCCTTTAGGGCATAATTTTATTTTATAATTTTTTATTCAAATACTAAATTTAACCCAGTATTTGAATTTATATAAACATATTTTTTGTAACCCTGAAGGCATTATTGTGCTTGACAGACGGAAAACTAAATCAGAGTAAAACTAGCTTAAATAGTAAATATATATATATAATATGTGTATATATATATTTGCATTATCATTGCTAACAGACTAAAATACGAATTATCCATGTACATTTGTTCAAGTTTAAATCAAATAAAGCAATCGATTTATATTTCTTCTTTTTCTTTTTTTCTGTCTGCAAAACGTTTAATTAAATGCAGTTCAAGTAAACTCTTTATTTTAACTTTAACTGTTTTGAAAACAGAAATTTGTGATATAATATTACAATTTTTTTAATCTAGTTTGCTGAATGTTTCTTAACTGCGTTTACATTATTTAACATACTGAATGCCTATAACATTGTTACAAAATGCGCATATATTTTTTTTAAATATTAGGCTTTCAGGTTTTCAGCTGGTATCCGAATATTTAGCTTAAAATTTTTGTGATAGACTTTTCTTTGCTGCAACTTTCATTTATCATAACATTAAGAGGTCTTATCTTTATGTAATATTCTAAGGTATTTAATTAATCTTTCGTATATACTTTGCTGACCCTTCCGTATTTTGGTATTTTCTTTTTACTTACATAAACACTTAAAAAATGATTCATACATTTAAAGGCATTATTTTCAGTTCTTTCATTTTTACTATAATTAAATTTTATATTGCATTTACACGACTTATGTATGGGAATAAAACAAGAAAGAAAAGTAAACTCAATTACTTTTTAACCAATACACTGTAGCATTTCGGAAATAAACTTAAGTTTAAATGATCATTCGCCGTCACGAGGAGACTAACGAACCTATTTCGCTTTAAGAAACTAGCAAACAAAGTAAGTGAATTAATTCATCTTCTGGCCATTTATATATATTATGTGCATTTCCTTTTCATATATTTTTAATTTTGTCTTTTTGTCTTATGTGAAAATTATTCACTTTTTTCTTACTTGTTTAATTGTTTTTACAAAGATTACATTATGTTCATTACTTTTACAAAGTTTACAAAGTTAACATGTTTAAAGCCGAGGCTGTTTGGGGGCATTTTTTTCAAGTAAGAAACTACAACTCACTCTTACAATAATACAGCACAATTTTAAAATTTATTTTTAAACTTGACAGAACAGATTATCTATAGATTTTTATTCTTTCTCCATGCTATGTAAACAAAATCACAATATCATTGCTTCCAAATCAGACAGGCCTTAAACATTTTACAGCAATTATTTAAATGTTTAACATTCGTGTTAAACTAATGTCTTAGGGTTATTAGGTAATTCTCCATGAATTTAAAGTGATCTGCAAGCTTTCCGCTCCACTACAGGATAATCATCGTTTAATATATTTTTATAGAATTTTGTAACCATGTAGCCTTAAGAGTCAATCAACTATTCATTAACACTTACTTATTAATTTTATTTCCTTTCATCGGATTTGAATTTTTTGATATATTTTAGTGTAGATTTTAACTTTCAATTTAGTTTAAATTTTCGGAAAAGCATTTTGATTTCCAAAAAGCAAGGAATATAAATTACCTTGCAGTTCATTTACTTTTCTTCGACTCTTTTCTCTGAAAATGTTTCTTCTTTTTATACTGTGCTACCAAGTAAAATTTACATACGTTTAAAAACGGGGATGCAGTGCGGAACCAAAGATTCGCAAAAGACCTCAATAAACATAATAATTATCCAACTTTGGATAGTTTTTCTTTCTTGTTTTACTTCTTATGCTTCATTGCGGAAATTTTGAGCGTCACGCGAGAAGATAATTAAATCACGAACTTTCTAGGCATTTTTACGGTCTGCATCTTCGTGGACATGGGATTATCAGTCTGCTGGAAGATTTTGCGGATAATATGAGGCATTTATGAGATTTGGGTTTGAAGGCCAGCTTTAAGCAAATATGTTGTGTACAATACTTTTAACTGAAATTAATTAGCCATCAAAGATATATATACTTCAATACGACATATTTTATAATTAAAAATATACTTTAATAATAGAGATGTAGGACGCTATTTTAATATTATAACTAATTGCAAAGCAAGATGACAGGCAAAGACTTTTTTTTTTTTTTTTTTTTTTGAGGGGGGGAAGGTTTAGGAAAAGAAAAGGAATAAGAAAATAAAAGGTAATGGTCCTCGACGAAAAGCTGCCTCTTCTCCGATTTACGAATGTAAGTTGTATTATTTAAATTGCTTCTACAATGAAAAGCTATTTTATTCTTTACATTTTTCAATTAAACGAAGATATTTAATAAACAGCTTCAAAGAATCGAAGTTTATCAGTCACGGAAACGTGTGTATGCGACAATCAAGTTTGATAAATGTACATTAGTCAAAAGGTATTGATTCCTAAGATAAATTTCATGTTTTGTTTTTGAATTAAATTCATCAATTATTATTGTATAAATCTGAATTAAAATTTAAATATATATTATCTATATCATTAGCATATCGAAATGATAGTTTACTAGACTCGTTTAAATCTTTCTTATTCAACAGACAGGCTAATACATAAGAAAATTCATCAACCCATGAAGAAGTGCGAGATAATTTTTATAGGCACAAATAAATAAATACGCTATATAAATTATACCTTCCAAATAAAATTTATTTATTTATTTACAAATTTATTTTTCTGGTGGTTGATTATTATGTACGAGAGATGTTTCCAAAGTTCTAGGAATTTAGATATAAGTTTTTATTTCCTCAAATGTCATCAATCTTACAACGAAATTTTTCTACATAATCCCCATTTAATTGAATATACTTATCCCAACGATAAACTAATTTTTAAGTCATCCTCATTTCTGTGTCTTCTCAATCCATCTACCTATTCCATGATTCCACTCTCAAATCGAACACCTCATACTTTTTTTTTTTTTTTCAAATGTAAGAACAGAATACTCTTCCGGGACGTTGAACAATTTCTGAAGTTTTCACATCTTCCTTCCACAAGAAGAAAATGATAGCTCTTCCATGGTAGCAAAAGCAGTAGTATCAGAATACGCCTGTATTAGACAAATAACTGAATCGGACTTAAACGATACTGCACAACGTCATAAACATAATAACACTTGTATCTGACCGATAGCGTTGCCTATAAATTTTAGGAATTTAACTAGAGCTCAGTGCATAGAACTTTGGAATTATCTTACATGTTTTATTTAACTATATATTTACGGTAAAAAATAATTCAGAAATTTATCCCCCCCCCCACACACAAAATTTATAATGCTGTCCTTACTTTTCAGATAAGCTATGCGACCAGATAAGTGATGCTATCCTAGATGCTCATTTGAAAGATGATCCTTATTCAAAAGTGGCCTGCGGTAAGTAACGTTCAGATTCAATTCAACATTTTTCATGTTTTTATGGATAATATCATTATTTATGTTTCCCGGTATAAAAGAATGAATAAAGTGAGATTTGTTTAGTATGCACCAATTAAGAAAAAATTTGATATTTGTGCATGTGCTGTTATTTATTTGTGTGTTTCAGAAACCGTGACCAAGAGTGGGAAGGTTCTAGTTTGTGGCGAAATAACATCTACTGTCAAAGTAGACTACGAAGAAGTTGTGAGGAGAGTAATACAGCACATCGGATACGACGATGTGGAGAAAGGTATATTTTAGTTTTTTGATCACGGGATTAAATTCAAATTCTGTCAAAATAATAGAACAGGAATTTATATTCAGACACAAGCCCTAACCTAAGTCTAATATCTTTAGACATAGCTTAGATCGAAACACCTTTTGATCACATAATCGATATGCAAACACGAAATACAACGAAGAAAAGTATGTAAAAAGTAAAGAAAAGTAAAGGAACAGTAAAAGAAGCATGTTAAATAAAACTTCTTCTTACGGTCTGTTGTAAGTATACTTCTTATCCCGCAAAATGGGAGCAAGCATTATCGAGTTTGATAAACGTCATTTCGTCATTTCTCTTGGGGCATAGTGTTTCAAAGACAGCAGTGCTTCAAAGACCCATACTTGCAGTCGGTACTTTTTCGTTATACCCTTGCCATGCTTTTGGGCGCAAGCGTGGCAGGTGATGATCTATTAGCCATCATTTGCAATGCAATGTGTGTTGTGTGTATGTTTCTGTGTGTTGTTTTGCTTGTATCATCTCCTGCCACGGAGTATGCGTGTATGTTTCTATACGTGCATTTTGCTAGTTACAAATTATTCCAATAACTAGAAACTGTTTAAAACTAAAAAAAAATCCGTCAACCTGCCTGGCAGTTCATAACGAAGAAGTACCTTGCAGTCTTATTTGAAACTTTTAAAATCTGATCTGCGAGAAAGAAAATACCACATGCATGATAAGTTATGGTCGATGACATATAGACTGGCAACAACAGCCACCGCATAAGAAGAACAAAAACAAGTCTATTTAGAGAATAACTAACAGTGTACTGATATCAGAAAAGATGCTGTGATTCAGCTCTCCGAAATAACAGAAAAGTTAATGTAAATCAGCATTGGGCTGAAAGAAAAGATACTGTGGAAAAACTCATTGATATTTTAAAGTCTGCTCCGCAACTCATAAAACAAATTGAAACTTGCCCATAGACACTTAGATAGTTATAGATGTACTAAATATAGGCTTGTGCAGTATTTCAAACATACTCATTGAATCTTCCGCATATCGTATCTCAGGAAAGATAACGCACAAATTTATTACTGTTCTACAAAGTTTTACTGTAAATGTTTTTCAAAAAGGAACAGTTTTATATTAAATTTAGTTTTAGATGTTAAGCTTCTTTAAACCCATTTCAAAATTTGCTTTTCACATTTTTAAACAACGGCGCAGTTGTTTTATATAAGCTTTTTAAATATACATTAATTTGTGGAAAATCAGTGTGTATCCTGTACATCTAATTAAAAATTAGACGTTTCCAAAACAAATACTCTGTTTTGCCTTATTGTTAAATTAAACATTAACTAACATAAATATGAGTTATTTTCCCTCGCAAAGGTATCCCTTTCTTTGGGCAAATAGCCCTTATTTGCTTTGCAGAATTTGCATTTGCTTGCAATAGAACAAAACAAAACATTTAACTTCTATGTACTTCGAGTATTATCGACAAGAAATTCGTTCCTTAGTAACATATATCCTACAATTTGCACATGCTGTACTTTTTAAGAGAAAATAACTTTGCGCAAGGTATTATGTTACATTTACGGTATTCGAAATTAATGCTCGCGCGTGAAAAAAAAAAGACACATAGCATTATCCCTCACAATAGACCATACCAATTTTTGTTGCAATTAATGCAAAAAAAAAAAAAAAAAGTTTTATTTTTCACAAATAGTTAAAATAAATATTTTTTCAGATAACATAAAAAAGGGGGAAAGAAAAGATCCATCCATTTCTCTACACTCAAATGCACATTTTTACAAAAAACAACGTATTTTTATTTAACCGTTAATTCAAGCAATTATGCTAACAAAAGTCTTACATATTTAAGGCACAATGAGCACCGAAAATAATTAACTTTGATGTTCTGAAAAAAGTCCGTAAAATATTTCTATTAACAATATCAAGTAAATTTTTTGGTAAAGAGATTATTAAACAATATTTAAATTTTACAAATATTTAAAATGGTTTAAATGCTATTATTACAAAACCTCTCACTTCCATGTAAGGTAGTACAAGATGACGGGTCGTATTTTCATCAGTTACATTTACGTATCAATTATTAGTAATGTTATTTTTACTTTGTTAATTCTGTTTCAGTAAAATATTATAACCAAAAATAAATGTTTCCAAAAAATTACGTCAATTTCGAACCATGAAATGTGTTACACATGATTTATTTTTTCACAAAATATATTTTTTTTAATATAAAGATAATTGAACATATTTTATTCTTTTAATGTTGATGGGATGAATTATAAAATTCTTCTCCTTCATCTTAAAAGATTAACAAAAAAATTCATTTTAAACTAAACTAGAAACAGAAAAAAAAACTTTTATCAATTAATTTCCAAAGTCTATCAGGCAAATAATTTGAGCACTGTTAAATTTCCATATGCACGTTTTCATGCTTTCTGTTTAACATGTAATACTTTTCTGTGTTTTTTTTTACAATTTGTATTGAAAACTACGAGAAAAGTATCATCTAAATTTTAAGTAGACAAAAGGTGTGTGTGTGTGATTATGGCAAAGCCTCGAGGGCTATTTGCCTAAGGGAAGGGATGCCTTCGTGGAGGACTTTCTAAGGGAAACCGGCTCGTATACACGTTACACATGGGGAAAACCACGAAAACGCCCATGCAGCCAGCCCGTTAGCGGGATTCGAACCTCGGACCGAACTACCAGTGTTCAGCGACTTTACCGCTCGGCCGTTGGTGGGCAAGCAGACAAAAAAGAAATATTCTAAGCGAATATCCTTTCATTCCTCCATGACGAATATCATTTATCCATAAGCGTTATGAATCTTTAAATAAAGTGTAGTTAAAAAAATTACAAAGAATAAATGTAAATGACTGTGTGGTGTGGGCTAAGATACAGTTCTAAAATTAAATTTAAAAAAAAATAAAAATGAAAAAATGACGATTAGGATTATTAGTTTGCCATAATCTATTAAAACTATTCATGTAAAATGTTTTACAGCTCATTAAAATAATAATAAAATAAGAAAAGTCAGCTTTTTTTTTTCCTGTCTTATAAGAAGCTGAAAGCTTTCAATTCTATTTACAAGTCGCGTTGAATTTTTTTCTGCAGCTCATGTTCAATTACCACAGATACATTCAAAGCAGATTTTAAAAGAGCAAGGTCTTATTAATATGATGGAATGAAATATAAAATAAGTTTTTTAAGCCAAAATTCACTCTTGTTAAACTGCATTTGCATTAATAAATTAAAACGGACTTGATGAAGATTTCAGGAATTTGTCTTGTTTTCAATGTCATGCAACGTTTAGAAAGGATACTTTATTATAAAAGAAAGAATAAATAAACCAAGAGTGAATGACTAGAGCCCGATTAAGATCGTCCGGAGGTTTAGGCATAGGTTTCTTTGGCTATACCCTCAATTTTCCATCTCTTGCTTTATTTTTATGAGGAAAAAACATGTTTGGGGTAAAATAAGAATGATCTGGGGGCTTTCTAATCTGGAATCCTAGCTCCACTTCTTGTGAGCCTAGGTAGTAGCTACACTCTGAGAATGAATCCTAATTTTGTGCTGAAACAATAAATAATCACATATAACAAAGTACTGAAACAGTTATTCCATATTTATTTATACGCAACTTACTCTGTAAGCAATTCTGCGAATGTAAATATTTTTTTATTATCGCCTTAAAATTTCTACATACTAAGATTAAAACTATTTAAAAATTCATCATGGCATACAGCAACAGAATTGCCACGGTTGCAGACAGACTTGCAAAAAAAAAAATACAAATAAAAAAAAAAAATAAAATAAATAAAAATAATATAATATTGAGTAAACAGTCATGAGCTACAATACTATCTCTATAACGCAATTCCTATTCATTTCCTACCTTAAAATAGATTAATGGTATTGTTTAAATAACTTTTACATAATTTTTAAATAAATACAAAGAGTGCGAAATTTTACTTTTTAAATTATTATATACGTGGATTTGTAAGGAAAGAGAGAATCAATAATACCATCGAAATTAGCAATTTTTTCCTTATAAATTATGTGATTTCATAGACATAAGTTTTCTTTCCATACATAGTGCTTTGCCTTTTTCAAAAGAAGGTAATAAAATACGAAAAGCATAGTACCTTGATTTTATTTTTACTATATTAAAATTAAAGAAAATCAGGAATTTAAATTTCCTCTGTAAGCAGTTTTATTGTTTACGGTTTATTTTTTCCTAAAAAACAGAAATTAATGTACCTCATATTTTTTCCGCCTATAAAAAGGCGATTCTGAACCCCGAAATTATGAAATACCAAGAATGTATTATTGAAATGTGTGCTACGCTACTTAAATTACGATAAGTCTTCAATGTCCTGACACTTCTCGTTTTTTTTATTAATGAAGACTATCCTTTCACCATTCTCTTGATAAAATATCGCTTAATTCATCTGTAAACTCGAGGCCTATCGTGAAAAATATATTTTTAAGGTAATAGGTTATTAATTTGATTGACAGGGACATTAAACACTATTGCAGTGTTTTATAGTTCTATATTTGCATTAAGCAGATGTGTTTAATGCCTTATCAATTTTCTTTTATCAGGTATCGATTACAAAACGTGTGAAATCGAGGTGGCCATCGACAAACAGAACGTTGAGATCGCAAATGGAGTACACATAGACAAACACGAAGAAGAGATAGGGGCTGGAGATCAGGTGAGTAAATCTAATGTAGCCTAAATACTGAGCTTTACTAAAGAGGATGATAAATAACCTGCCATAAACAAAGTTATCTACTTCAATACTGCTCAGATTGCTTATTTATATTAAAAATAGTTACCTTAGCATTGTGTCAAACAGTATCTCATCGTCCACAGATTTAATAAAATAAATTTTCGCAAAAAAATTTGCTTATAAAACTGCTCCAGTTTTAATTGCAATAATGACTAATCCCATCGGATCCATTATCATCTCCCCATAGGGTCTGATGTTTGGCTACGCCAGTGACGAAACAGAGGAGTGCATGCCGTTGACCGTCATGCTTGCCCACAAACTCAATGCCAGACTCGCCGAGCTGCGAAGGAACGGAACATTCTGGTGGGCAGGACCCGATTCTAAAACTCAGGTGACATTTTCAATCCATTCTTCAATGCACACTGCAAATAACATTTACGGATTTTCCAGCTTGGGATTCTAATACAAAGCCAAGCCATAAATTGAAAACAGTACTTGTAGTTCAAAATATGTTTTTTTTTTTTTTTTTTTTTTTTTTTTTTTGAATAATCTTAATTTCTCATGGCATAGTACACAAATATGTTGACGATAAACTTAAAATTCAAGGGTAGATTATAGCGTCGTATGCCGTTTCGCTTTTGCGAAAAACCAGCAACGGTTGGTTGTACATTTATATTAGTTTTCACTATACGAGGAAAATCGGATGATGATTTTCGATTTTACGAAGAAAGTTAAGAAGCGAACACAGCACCTACGCTTTCATTCTGGAAAACATATACAGATAGCACGCCCTTGTATAAAGCTCCAATTGTCCACAAAGAACAGTTTTATTTTTTAAAAAATGACGCGTGAGATTAAGCAGTGATGAACATGAGCCTTCGATTCAAGATAAACAAGAGTATGTGACAAGATGCAGACATTAGTGACCTGCCTACGTTTGATGGAGCACTCTTTAATAGAGAGCCGAATTTCAGCGCTAAATTATATGTTGCGACAAAAAACGGGAAATTTTCAAAAATAAATAACTAAGTTGTTTCCATTTTAAAAATAAATTTACTGAAAGCAATAAAAAAAATTAAGAGAAAGCAATTACAGATGGTTCATCTGATGAGACAGTCACTAATGGAGGTTCTGCATTATTTTTGACTACTTCAGGTGATACTGCTTATCAACACAAACTGGCGCTGGAGCCAGAGTCTCTAACTTCAGTAGCGAGCTTCTGGCAATAGCAGAGGCACTTGATAAATCCCTTCCTATTTCTGGGCAAGCAAAAGAACTAGTGCTCTTCTGAGGCTCAAAAACAACTGTACAGTCAAAAGAACTCTGCAGGAAAGTTCCCTGATTACCAACGGGATCCATTTTTTCCTAAACAAGATTCGCAAAAGTTAGATAAGGTCTACATTCTTGAATGTTTGCCAGTGCATGTCAATATAACAGGTAACGAGAACGTATGTTAAGAGGCTCGAAATCTCAACAAGAATAGTAACATAAATGTCAACTTCGCAAATGCCATAGCCAATAAAGCACCTGCTCCATAACATCAATGGAGATCGACTTATAACTGAAACCATAGTCAGGCTTAAACTGCGATAACTGTCCGGACAAAGACCTGACAACTGCACATATTTTTGTCTGTCTGGTCATCGTTGCCGAATTGTTAAAAATTGCAGTCTTGTTTAAGAGACCGAACCTGTACGATAATAACATTTTGCAGATTGCCGGGGGTGTCATCTAGGCACTATTTGAATAGGCTTTGTCATGGATACGACAGAAATGTGTTTAATTTTTTGAAATATAGTTTGATAACAATAATGAAGTAACTTTACAGTAAAACTACATACATATAATTAATTTTTGAAGTGAGATATTTCAGAATTTTCCCCTATATATGAATCTTATATAACGCTAATGACGCATGCTACTTTCATAACGGTAAAAGTTAAACTGAAGTCTTTTACCCAATAGTAAGGAAAAGTTCAAACCAACATTTTTTATAAACCAAATAGAAATTAAGCGATTTTGCTTAATTTCTATTTGGTTTATAAAAAATGTTGGTTTATAAAAATATTTGGTTTATAAAAAATAATTTCTATTTTGCTTTATTTCTATTTGGTTCTATTTAGCTATTTTTAATCTATATCTTCTCTTTTCTGACGCTTGCCTCTGTCGTACACTAGCCACATCCTGTCATACTATAAATATAAAAAATTACGCTTGTAATTACGGAATACAAGGCGCACATATTAAATAAGTTGTTATTTATGTTCAAGAATGTTTTGCCAAGAATTAAGAAACGTGTCAATCCACTATGACTTCACTGTAACCATCCAACTATTATCGTGATCTACGACAGATGTAAATTTCATCATACAACGCACACATGTTATACAGACTCTGGCTTTCAAAAGTTAAGCATGCGAAAATAAAATCAATGAAAATGGAAAAGTAAAGTAAATTTTTAAATAAGCCTTTGCAAATCCTGCTGAAGGCTAGCGTCTTCAACGACTGCCTAATTACCATATGTTCAGAGAGTCAATCACGATTGGCTAATACAATATTTGCATACTGCCATCTGCAGCGATTTTTAGCCAAAGTCAACTCCGCTTTTGAAATCTGCTCAATTTTCAGCATGTTTTTAGAAGACATAATACACATACGCATACTTAACAACTTAATCCATCACCTGGTTGACAATAAGACTACTGAACAGCGGTATTTCGTCCTACTTGTATCATAACATCCCTCGTGATTTTCCCAATGTATAACGTGAGAATGACCGAATTTCTCTCACATAATTTACGCATAAGGCCTTTCCACGAGTGAAATATCGTAATAAATTACCTATCATAGGTCCTTTTCTCACAATTAAGATAAGAATTACTTACGAAATTACCTTAATTATCTCTCTTGTACCGCCAGCTGAGAATCATTGAGCGAGATTAAGAATTTAAAGTTAATCAGAAACTTGACAATGAGACCAAGAATCTTCATAGAAAGAACTCCCGTAAAACACGAATTCCCATAACGCGACGAAAAAATTGCGACTAGTACAGTTCAGCGCGATAAACAGTTCGGTATAACGCGTAAGATAAATTTAACATTTTCATAGTTTCTGATTATTTGTTTAGAAAAGCTAACTTTTATATGAATACTGAAACTGATAGTTTAGAAAAGGTAGAGATTTATAAAAAAATACGCGAGCCCGTTATACGGGAGTCCATACAAATTTTAAAATATAAGAGGAAAAAAATTTTAGTATTCAACTTTTAATACAAATTAAAATGTGAATTCACTATTTAACATTTATTCACAATCGGAAGTATCAACAAATAAGTTCCAACGACGCCATCTTGTTAGCACTGGTTAGACAGATACAAGCTTGAATAATCCATAGTTTCGTCTTGATTGTTTTCGTTAATACTTCTTTCTCAGATTTGTAAAAACTTCTTTCTCAGATAATTTTTTTGATTAAAAATATGAGGGATAGACAATCATTTCCGACAGATCAATTTTCTATTGACAGATCAATTTTCATAAAAATAATTGTGTAATGACATTTAAAAGACACTCAGCGCGGCACACGGTCAGAGAGCGAAGTCACGGCGCATGAGACTGATATGATAATGTATGTCCCGTACGACGCGATTTCCTATTACGCGAAACGTAACCCTCGCGTTATGCGGGAGTTTACTGTATTTATTTTGGTATCAAAGAAAATAGTTTATAGAACAAAAGTTAGACAATACCAAGCTATTTTACTTGACACAATTTATCCTTATTTAATAAGCAGGCAATGTTTAAATTGTTTAGAGGGATAAATAAACATAGGGGCAGTTCAGATTATTTTAAACAATTACAAAGTTATGAATTTTTACTTATGAGTCCCTACATGTAATTTTTTTAAACTAATAGGGGGCCGGAAAGTAATATCGCTTTCTTACATTAAATTCACACGATTAAATTTTTAACACGTTTTTATTTTTAATCAATAACGTAATCACCCTCGTTATCAACAACCTTTTGCCATATAGTATGCAGATTTTCAATCCCCGGACCGATATAAATCAAATTGGTTTTTGAGTAAAATATCTAAGATGGCATTTTGGACATCATTCAAATTTAAAAATTTTTTGGCACTAAGAAAATGTTGTAGGGATCGGAATAAATGGAAATCCGAGTGCACGATATCGGGCGAGTATGGTGGGTGATGCAGCACCTTCTGTCCCAATTCATTCATTTTTTCCAGTGTCCGTCTTGCACAGTGCGGTCTTGCATTGTCGTGTTGCAGAATGATGCCTTTTCTATTGACAATCGCCGGATATTTTTCGATTAAAGATTGGGTTCATTCTGATCCAATTGTTGACAAAAACGATCTGCATTAACAGTTTCGTCCAGGTTTCAGCAATTAAAAATGAACAAATCCTCGCAAATACTCCACCAAACACACAGAATGCGCCTTTTGGGGATGTATAAACCCTTTGTAACCCCTAATTAAAACTGCCTTTAGCGTTTTGGATTATCATATAGGACCCATTTTTCGTCTCCAGTAATCAAATGATCAAAAATCGGTTCTGTATGGTGCCGTTGAAGCAATACGTTGCATGTGATGGATCGCTTGGCTTTGTTCTCTTCGGACAGATTATGGGGGACTCAAAAACCTGCTTTGCTTATTTTTCCATTCTGCTTTAAATGTTCTTGGATGGTCGACCAAGGTTGGTTAAGAGTGTTTGACATGGATTTGCTTCCACTTTTGCCCTTAGCATGTTGTTGTCGACATGCGCAGAAACGACAGTACTTTCCGGTCTCCCTATTGTATTAATTTCATCCAGGTTTGGTTTTTGATCTAAGAGCCTAGGAACTGTCGTAGTAATATAGTGCAGCGTTAACAGCGTATCACAGTGCAGTCAGATACATTCAAATCAAATACTTCCATATAAGTTGTTCTTATTCATTCCATATTTATGTTTCATTCAATATTTTCTAATTTGAATTTTACCAAGATTTATACATTTATCAGTGGCTGCGGGGATTAAATCACCGAGGTAAAACAATTTTACCTAAAGCGGAATGAATCGTTTTAAATTTCATCTATATTTCTATTCTTCTATTTCAGGGTTTCTTAAACTTTTTTCAGTCGCGACCCCTTTTTATATGTTATTGTATGCAGTTGTCACATGTAGATGAAATAATTTTGCATTTGTTTTTAGGTAACATGTGAGTACATTTTCGATCATGGCGCTGCCGTTCCTCAACGAGTACATACAGTCGTCGTATCTTCCCAGCACACAGATGACATCACACTAGACAAGTTGCGCCAAGAAATCATGAACAAAGTCATCTTGGAGGTCATTCCCAAGTGTTATATTGATGACCAGACTATTTATTATATCAATCCGTGCGGCAGGTTCGTCACGGGTGGACCAAAAGTAAGTCACATTTGAAATTTCCTACAGTCTAATAAAGCAAACTTTTAGGTCTAAAATTAATTCAGTACGACGGCATCTAATGTATATTTTTATATTTTTAAGAGAAAAAAATTTTACTTTTATTTTAAAAAATATATAATAAAATATGAAACTGAAAAAACTTTCCGATCAATATTTTATTACACGTTAGAGGTCTCATTTACATTCTGTAACTTTTTTATGTAAAAGTCTTTAAAAAGAACCGAAAAAGGATACCTTATTCAAATGCTTAGATTGTCACCTCCGTTATAAAATGAAAATTTCACAGCTGGAAGGCATTCATGAATTAACTCATTTTTAAAACCCAGTTAAATGATTAATTATCACATTTCTTCGATGCCATGTGTCTTTAAGCAAGAAAGTTATCCCAAATGGGGGAAAAAATGAACGTAACAGAAATACACTACAATAGTAATGCAATACTTTAGGATAGCACTAAGGCCATACAAAAGTTCCACCAGAGAGCAAAGATAATGCAGTAAACATTACAACTTCAATTTCAATTCTAACATTCAGGATTCAGTTTTAATAATAATAATAATAATAAATTAAATGTAATAAATTACTTGCAGAAGGCAATACTGAATATGACTTTCCAAAATGTAGACATTTGCTTTTACATATTTTTAAAAGTCTCCGACTTTTAAATAAATCTACATTTTCTCAAATTAAGTACAATGGTACCTCGATGTATATGATTAATTTCATTCCAGATCTTTGGACATAACACTCTTTTGCAAACAAATCGAAGCACCATGAAGGAAGTGGTTGTTTTTGATGAACTTGAATATGTGTATAGCTCATACGCAGATAATAAAATGATTAAAAAATCATAGTACCTGTTGACGGCTCACAATCACCCACTGAGTGTTCAAATTAGTAGTTGGTCGAACCGCCCCTGGCGGCAATGCATGCTTGAATTCGTCGAGGCAAGGAGTGGTAGAGGTTTCTAATGTCATCCTGCGACACATCCTTCCAGGCATTCGTCAGTTGTCGCTCCAGATCTGCGATATTTTTGTGGTGTCCGAATCTGGCGGTCTACTATGCCCCAGACATGCTCGACTGGTGACTTTGCTGGCCAAGGAAGAGTATCAACCGCACGGTGACAGTCCAGAGATATGCCAGCGGTATGTGGCCTGGCATTAGCTTGTTAGAAAATGGCTCCAGGATGACGTGGCATGAAGAGCAAAGCAACCGGCCGCAGGATGGTATCAACATATCGTTGAGCTGTTAAAGATGTACGGAGGATGACTAAAAATGACCAGCTGTCATAAGAAATAGCGTCCCACACCATCACACTAGGGTTTATGGCCTTTTGCCTTTGTAAAACAAAGGCTGATTGGGACCGCTGGCCCCGTCCTTTCCAGACACGAACACGGTGGTCATCTGCTTCAAGAGTGAAGCGGGATTCATCGCTGAATACTATATGATGCCAGTCTGATGGCATCCATGATGATAGGCTACGACACCACTCCAGACGACTTCGCCGATGTTGTGGGGTCAAAGGCAAACGTCTTAAAGGCTTCTGTGAGAGTAACCCCGCTTCAGACAAGCGCCGTGAGATGGTGGACGGTACCACGGGAGGTATAGACATGGTTGTAGTGCGTTGAATAGCCGACAATGATACCGTTGGGGCAGTTCGGGCCTGGCAAACAATCATCATATCTTGCCTTGCATTTGTTCTCTTTGGCCTTCCAGAGCTTTCATTTCGTCGGCAATTCCCTTGTAGCAACCATTGCTGCCAACATCTTTGCACAGCAGTATCTGTACGCTGCAAATGGAGGCCTATTGCCTATTGCTCGGTATGACCACCCAGCTTCACGCAACCCTACAATGCGACCACATTCGAAGTTCGTTTAGTTTTCTGCAAGGTCTTCAATATCAATCGTAAATGGCGTCTTTAGTGTGCTTCTTTACGGAATTAGAATGGTCAGCAACAAAAAAAAAAAAAAAGATATATTTTCCGCTCTGTTACTGTTTTTATTCTTTGTGAATTGCGCACTGCTATGATCGCTATGATCTCAATTCCTGTTCATTTACCTTGAAACTTTGATCATTTGCATGTTTGATCAAGATGTTTTTGCATACCAAATTTTGTCACGATCGCAAAAGTCCTTCTTGGTGCTTCGATTTTTCTGCATAAGAGTGTATACCAAACGAACTTTTCTAATAAAAAATAAAGGGAAAATAATTAATCCCTTCGCATAAAAAATCCTATCGTTATTATTATAACAGCTTAATACTAAAATACAAATTTAGTTGGTGAAATATATAGTATACATAAATGAAGCATTGTACCATACTCTACATAAATGTTTTTCTCCCATCCAGATAAAATGCAAATTTTCAACATGTTTTGATGTTTCTGATCTTTGTTTGGGAAATCGATTACCTCCCTTTGCAAGTTTAGCCAATTTAATAGCATCTTTGTTTTGACATTCGTAAACATCATCGTAATCTGCATACGGTACTCACTAGCCAAATCCCGAATACTCAAGCCATCTTCATATTTTTCACCAATCTCTTTATTCACCTCCATATTGACCCCGACAATTTTCTGCGTTGCTTGACGCATTAACTTTCTCCAAACTCATTGTTGATGAATTTACAAAAAAACTGATATGAAAACCACGTCTACCTTGTACGGCTTATTAAGTTATATACATTTTTTTGCTGCATTTCGCTTAAATTTATTTTCTCGAATTTCATTAGAGCTATATTTCTCATTCAATCAATTCTATTATCACTTTGCGACAAGGCAAAAATATATACAAATTCAAAACATTTTCATTAAAAATTGTAAAATACAAAAAAAAAAAAAAAAAAAAAAAAAAAAAAAACCTAAAACACCAAATACGGTTAAAAACAGTAAAAAAAAAGTTAAAATTAAAATTAGTTTCTACGCAATAACAAGTAATTCGGTCAATGGACAGGAATACAAAAGTTTCAGTGCATAAAACTGAAAGTTAACTTTTGGTTCTACTGGGCAAAAAGACACTGAAATTGGTGCATCAATTGACTGAATTCACTGTTCGACTAAGAGTTATATCGAGGTACCGCTTATTATTAAAAAAAATCTCTGAAGAACAGCAATACAATATATGCTAGATGTTTTCTTTCTGCTGAGATAATGTTACTTTAGATTCAAAGACTTCCCAATTAAGGGAGGGGCTTTTTTATTTTTAAATGAAGCATTTTTTTTATTTATATTTTTAAGTATAAATAAAGCATGCAAAGAAATATTATTCTCCATCTAATTCTTCACTTTTATTTCACTCCCGATAATAAAATTTTATTTTATGATTTACTATGCATATTCTAGATTTGATATAGTATTCAGTAGCACTAAAATGTGAACTGGATAGAACTTCTAATAGTCATAAAACGGCCATGTACCATTTCGACTTTTAGTATATTTAAGCCAATATGAAAGTTGCCTTCTAGATTTTCTTTCTCCTCTCCACTCGATAGATTTAGCAAAACTGTAGCTTAGTAAAATTGCTATTATTTACAGCTCTGGCAATGGCTTTACAATTATGGTAATACCATTTTTCAAAAATGGAAAAGTAAAAATACATTTTGTGTTTAAGTTAGATATGGAAAGGGAGGAAAATGCTGATTTCCTCCTTTTCTTGACGATATTGTCTAAAGTTTGACCTCTGCTACTTTAAATGCGATTCGCTATTTTCAGATGCAGTTTATCAGTTATTCCAAAAGGTTATTTTTTTAGATCATAATGGTAAGATTTTTACAGGGAGATGCTGGACTGACAGGCCGTAAAATTATCGTTGATACATACGGTGGATGGGGTGCTCATGGAGGAGGTGCCTTTTCTGGAAAAGATCCTACCAAAGTCGACAGGTCTGCAGCATATGCAGCTCGGTGGGTGGCCAAATCTTTGGTTGCTGCAGGTCTGTGTAGGCGGTGCCTAGTCCAAGTAAGTACTTTTAGAAATAAAGAATTGTCCAATACATCTGATATAAATCTAATATTTATATGTAAGATTTGCTTTTGCTTTTCCACTCCCTTCTCACTTAAATGGCTTATTTAAAAAACAAGATACTATTAAAGCAAAAAATTTTTTGGGTTAGCAATATTTAAAATTCTTCTTATTATTATTAAATTCCTGTTTCTATCATTAGTTAATCCAGCATATGTTCTTGCTTAAGGATAAAAACTGGTATTAAACGTTCTTACGTATTGCAACCACCTTGGCGCAGTTTAGCGAATTTTATGGACGGAAAAGAATAATTACTTTTGTTGTAAAAAAATATATGTTATTTTGCGTTTCAAATAAATAATTATTCCAAAAAATAATCAGTAATAAACAAAGTAGTTACAAACGGGTTTTTGTAGTGGTGGAAATTTCGTAGCAATCGCTTTGAGAAGGAATTCGAAGCGATCTTTAGTGATTTTTTGGCAAAATACTGAGTTTCTACAGAAGTTTCACCTCTATTTTTTTTATCATAGGAATATCTTACGAACACAAATTTTAAAATCGAGTTTAATACAAAAAAATACTAATTTTTCTATAAAAGTCGTTGAAACTTGGAACACAACAAAAAGAACACATACGAAAATGGAGAAATTAGGAAGAAAAAAAAAAAAAAAAAATTGTCACGCGCATTGTTTGCCCGAATAGTTATTACGCGCCTGGTTATTATAGTTTGGCGCATACTGAAATTTTAGCGGTTTCTGCCAAGGTGGCTGCGATACTATGTAGCTACCTTAAAATTAAATGATATTTAACTTAAATTTTTCAATTTGCTTATTTAAACAATGACAATTTGCACAAAGAACCAGATTACTGGTAATTAGTTTACAACCATTAAGTTAGGTCAGCTTTAAATGAAAATTGTAAATTCTAATTATTTACAAAACATTTCAAAACTTCTAAGATTACATTTTTTTCCATATAAATAAATAAATGGTACATTAAACAGCCATGCATCAGCAGAAAAAGTCAGAATATATTTGATCTTATTTCTCTAATTAGTTCCCATTCTTAAAAAAGCAAATATTTCTTCTACGTTTCTGTCACCCTTGAAATCCGAATGACTATTTATCTGTTTTACTTTTAATGTAACTATTATATCAAATGCTTTTACAAAAACTATAAAAAATTATAAATGCAATGCAAAATAATATTTTTAATATGTTTAGAATGCTACTGCCACAATAGGAATACAAGAATTTATTAATAATTATAATAGGAATAGGAATACATTTTGTAAACAATTTATTATGCATAATTATTATTACAGTACAAAATCCGAAATCCGGACGTCCATTATCCGGAATGATTTAAAATCCGAATTTCAAAACCACCAAAAACGTTTTTTCGTAGGCTTTACGCATGCGCATTTGATTTCCCCCCCTTCGTGCATAATAAATCATCTGGAGAGTTCCGATTCTTAATTATTAAGTATAATTGTTATTACAGTACAAAGTCTGAAATCCGGACGTCCATTACCCGAAATAATCTAAAAACCGAATTTCAAAACCACCAAAAACGTTTTTCAGTAGGCTTTACGCATGCGCATTTGATTCCACCCCCCTCCGTGCATAATTAAATATCTGGAGAGTCCCGATTCTTAATTTCACTTCACTAAATAAAATACCTTGTTATTGAAGAATCAATTATTTTAGCATAAATTTTTACGATCAGTAATTTGGCTCCGTTGCTGCGTATATGCTTGGCATACATCTCAAACCCGAAGATTCCACATAGATACATCGTTGATCTGACGCCAATCCGGCGAATCATTATTTATTATACTTTCCTTTCATCACCGCATGTTTATCAAAACATGACAAATTGAGTCAGACTCATATAGCGATGCCTAAACAATTTTTTTATGTTAGTAATTTTATAATAAAGGAGTATGGTAACATTTTATGTTGACATTATGCCTGGCGATGATTATAAATTTAAGTTAAATGCGCTAAAAAATGTTGATGAGGAAAAATTTACCAAAACTTTCTTCTTCCCATATGCTAAAAATAGATTTTGTTGATGATACTCATAGACTCAAAGATTACATTTAGGGCTATTTGAATTAAGAATAACTGATTAGTTATTCATATAAAGCCACAATCAGCGCCAGGGCTCGTGTGGCCGCATCGAGTCAGAGAATTTAGGACTCACAGCAAAGAATATGTATTATTAGACATAGACGTAACATAGATGTTCTTTGTCCACAGAAAAGATTGCATCAGGCGGTAAGATATCTAGTGCCGGCTCTCAAGTATATGAGTGTCCGCCGATAACAACGCAGAAAAACATCGCGGACCAAAACGTCGCGGAGAAAACAACGCACGGCGAAAACGTCGTGCTACAAAAACATGGGAGAAAAGAGGCAAAGAGAAAAAACATCACTGTTTTAAAACATCGTCGTCGAAAATAAAGCGGTTCAAAAACTTCGCAGTTTAAAACATCGTCGTCGAAAATATCGTGGTACAAAATAAAGTATCTACAAATCATCGCATGTCGATAACATCGCAGACACGCTTTTTTCAGGTTTTAAAAATTATAAATGGATATTCCCATAATGATTTGTGAGCGGAAGATGTAAAGAAGGATAATTTTTACATTCACATTTTTTTTACTAATAAATTTTTGCTGAAAAAGTAAGAAGGAAACTTAAGCATAGAAAATTAAATGTAACTTATAGATGATACTTTCATGAAAAATTACCAGTAAAAACTTTATAAAAAAGGATTTATTAATGGCCTTTGTTAGTTAACTATGTCGGTTTAAAATTCTATTTAAGTGCTATAAGTTGCATTAATTTTCTTCTTATTTTCTCAGCAAAAACTTATTAGTTAATAAAAAATATGACAGTAAAAATCATCCTTCTTTCAATCTTGCGCTCACAAATCATTATGGGAATATTCATTTACAGTTATTACAGCCTGAAAAAAGCATCTCTGCGATATTATCGACATGCGATGATTTGTAGATACTTTATTTTTTACCACGATATTTTGCAGCACGACGTTTTCCTTTTGCGTTGTTTTCGTCCGCGATGTTTTCGGCTGTAACCAGTATATGGCGGGAATTTATTTATTCAGAACTCTGATAAGCCTTAAGCATGTGCAAGAAATAGACAAATATAATAAATAACTAAACTAATACAATTCAGACTTAATTGTCTCAGTACGCCATAGAAGCAAGATAAAATTTAACGGAACAACTTGCCAAATATGTTAGTGAAGGATAGTTAAATTTGATGATAATAGCCGCTAATTTTAAAAGGTTTTCGGATATCGCAAAACAAAGGTGAAATTTTACAATTAATGGATTCTGTAAAGAAATGTGGAGAAGGGGTAATAAATGAAGATGATATAAAAGAAGGTTTTCATTGTGATGACGACGCTTCTCAATCATCAATCAATTAATGAATGGCGAAATCTGTACTATGGTTCTAGATCCAGATAAAACCGCTACCGATAGTTAAGAAAGTGACACAGAAGTTGCTGAAAATGAGAAAATTTCGATTGACAAGTTAGTCGGAATTCTCGAAATAGCAATTACAGGACTTCAACAATGTAACTAAACAAGAGATTATGTCTATCTACAGAATTAAAGAGAAAGTATTAGCACATTAAACGAAACAACTTGCATCGAAAGAAATATTTAATAAGGTAAACAAATAAATATTAAGCTTTTTTTTTTTTTTTTTTTTTGTAAGTTTTGATATTCTTTAGACCATAAATACTTCATTTTTTCATAAATCGCGATTTCATATTTTTAATTTTATAATTTGTACATGCCATCTTACTAGATTTAAACTGATGATCTATTATCCGGAAAAATCCCAAATCCGGAATCGCCTAAGTCCCGACGACTCCGAATTTCGGACTTTGTACTGTATTTTAAAAGCCAGGATTTACCACTCTCTATAATATTTAAGGAGGAAATATTTTTCTGAACAAAGTTGAAAAGATAACTTTATCTAACAATACTAGTTGGTGGCAAACCCAAAAATATTTCTTTTTACATTTGACTAAAACTAGATTATAAACGTAAATCAGGGATGTCAGACGTCCCACTTTGACTGGGACTACCCCGTTTTGACAAGGGGTTTCCTGTATCGAGGCCAGTTTGCCACTTTGTTTAACTTTTAAAAGAACAGGATTATACAAGAAGTAAAAACAGTGCAGGCTCAAGTAAAATGGAGATATAGCAATTAAAATTCCCCTTCTGTTACATCCACTGCTGCCATTCTAAATATATATATGTATATATATTATCTAAGTACTTTTAATGTTGCCTAGATGTTTTTCCCTAAATTATAATGTGTGATCTAATGAATTTAGATATTTAATTTTTTCACAGAATTTAAAATAACATGTGCCTTGTGAGATAGATTTTTTTATTTCATTTTTTAGATATTTCGTTTCAATTAGAGTTTTCAAGACTGGAACTTACACTGACCATGTCATTGCTGCTCATGTCTTACCTCACTTGAGGTGAAATGAAAGTCGGCATTTGTGATTATTTTGTACTGCACATTAAATTAATTTAAGCTAAAAAATGCCAAAAAGAAACTGTGTGTCTACTGATGAATAAAGAAAGGATTATCTGTTTCAAAAAAAAAAAAAAAAAAAAAAAAAAAAAATGTTAGTGACCATTCTGAAAAAGTAAAATGAGAACTCTGTCTTTCAGTAGCTAATGGCAGTCATTTGGACATTAAAAATCACTTGGAATGTGTGGAATATATGGCAAGCAAGCAGCAGTGACAGGAATGTTTGCAAATATATTCTATTTTAAGGTTACCGATTTTAAGTGACAAAGCATTCTTAATACGAACTAAAGCACATTTCATATTACTGTTCTCAATCTCAGCTTTAAGTCAGTCAATCATTTATTTAACCTGGTTTTGAAGCTCTTTGAAACTAAGTGATAAATACTAATAACTTGTTAATAATATGGAATATTCAACTGAGTAATTAAAATTTATTTTAACTCATTGTTACTTTTTGTTTACAATATTTATATTTAGCCTTTTCAATCATAGGTACTTATCCTAGCAGGTTTTATTTTCTGCTGTATTTTCTCAACATTGTCCTGGTTTTGGAAAAATATTATGGTATGGTAAGCCTAACTATCTTTATTTTTTTTAAAGCTATCATACGCTATAGGAATTCCAGAGCCTTTATCAATTGCCATATTTTCATATGGAACTTCAGAAAAAAGTAGCCAAGAGTTACTACAAATTGTAAAGGACAATTTTGACCTCAGGCCTGGTAAAATCATTAGGTGAGTAATGATTTGTTATTTTACAAGTTCGATAAAGTAGTATAAGATTCAGCCACTTCCATAAATGTTTATTAATTTATTATAAAATTATTATTTATCATCACAAATACACTTTATGGATTCTCAGTTTTCTTCTGCATTAATCAATGCTGAAATAAATGATGATGCTTCGTAAATGAAAAGTTAGGCCTAAATAATAGTAAAGCTGAAGAGAAAACTAACAGGGTATCATTAAATTAACTTCCAAATAAGTTAATGGTATCCTCTACATTAAATTATTTTTTCTTATTATTTATCTGTGCATTTTAAAAGTAGAAAGCATTTTACACTGCATTTCTAAAATAGAAATAATGTTCTTACCTTCTTATAACAAATTACTTACTGCTTCTCATGAGTGTATTATAGTGAGCCTAAAAGCTCATATTTAAGCTCAAGGTTAATGTTTGGTTAGACAGCATATAGTTGTTTTCACTTCTGTGACACATTTTGCAAGTACACTTATGGTAACTTATCTCAAGTTATGATTTACAGAAATGAAAAAAGCATTTCAAACTACAAAAAATAAATTATTTCAATTGACATAAATAAAAGTATCTTTCTAATTTTTATATAATAACATTCAAAAATAATTTTCTGATTTCATATTTACTACATCTAATGGACATTATAAAACATTAATTGAATAAAATTTTACTACTGTTGATGATTTGGTTAAGAGTTTTGTCTTGCATTTAATTGGTTTACAAAAATATACATTATTGTAAGAATTATTTAAAATTTAATATTTTTTTTTAATTCTTGACTTGGGCTGATGTTATCCAATACAATTATATGTATTTAGAATTTACTGAAATATTAATCTCTTTAATTTTATGTAATTGTTATAATACTTATATTTTGCAAAACTTAATAAAATCATTATTATTTTTAATACAGGGACCTGAAACTGAAAACACCATTTTACCAGAAGACTTGTGTCTATGGGCATTTTGGAAGACCTGAATTTCCATGGGAAACTCCAAAGACTTTGAACTACTGATCCTAGTCAAAATAAAGTTTATGCAAAAGAAAACTTGCAGATGTTATAATATACAGGAAGATCAGTTTTTAAGTTTCATTTGTATTAAAGGATTGATTTGTATCCTTTGATACAGATTAATTTAAAGCATATTTTGTAATACCTTTATTTAAAACTATAATTAAGCCATAAAATGACAAAAATAATAAGAATTTTAAATAATAGCAATCAGCAACTCTTTTGCATAAACATGATTTTAATTTTTAACTCATTACCATGCAAAATATATCATTCAAGCCTATGTTTAAGCAGGCTTGCATAATTTTTACTCATAATGTAATGTACTGTCAGTTTTGTCTGTCTATGTTTTATGTGTTTAGTGTAAGAAATAAACACTTCTTTATAACAAAAGTTGATTTTAATTTAAGCAATATAAATGGCTGTTTTCAAGCATTCTTATCCACATTTAATTAACAGCATGAACAACTCGCACAATATACAGTAACCCAGGGAAAAAAATAAATAAACTTAATCACAAAAACTGCCACAATGAGTTTGTCAGGCAACTTGAAGATAACTAGATAATCAATCTAAAAGCTGCATGGAATTTGATCATGAATCTCCAACAACAGCACCTAAATTTATCTTCACTGTATGACTCAACCAGATTATTTGTATTGGTTTAGGTTTTTCTCCTGGTAAGGTCACCGGCATGTTTACAAATTCATGATTCATTTGGAAAGAAACCTAAAAGAGGAAAAAAAAAATCATTTTATTCTAGTTAAAATAGCCTACATATATATAGATCATTTAAAATTCCTAAAAAAAAAAATTAAACAATTTATATGAATTTCTTTCAAGGCAGGTATTCATAATTTTAATTATCATATTAAATTCAAATAAATATACAGAAAAAGCAAATAGAAGATTTCCATTATCAAATTTACATCTTAATTCATCAAACATAAATCTTATAACATAAATGTAAAAATTTAAAATCAAATGTTTCTCTTTTCTTCAATGTTTTATTAAAAAAAGTTTAAAAATTAGGAAACACTGTACAGTTTTCATAAGACATATCTCTTTCTATTTATTATTCAAAAGTCAAATATGCTTTCTCTATCACTTTCAAAATTCTGTTGTTTTTCAACTATATACCAATTTTTTTACAGTTCTTCTGTTAACTGAACTATTTATATACTATGTGCAAGATAAAAGTTTTTTAATAATGAGTATAGTATATGTACATTTAACACTGCTGATGGTCACAGTTTTAGTACATACTAGAGCACAAACACACACAAAATAAGCATTACTACTAAGTGCTTCTATATAATAGATTTTCAATATAACTGCTCAAAATTGCTTCCATTAACCACAATAGCACATGCCTGAGAGCATAGATTAAGTGATTTGCTTCTACTGTTGTCATTAGAAGACACAGTAAGTGGTTTGCCTGGCAAAAATACCTGGCATCTTTAAAACTATGCCATTGTTTCCTTTCATGTTTTACTTCTTGTATTTGTACTTCAGCATTTCACTTGCATCCATGCCTACACAGGATTTTTTTTTTTTTTTTTTTTTTTTTTTTTTTGGCAGTGTGCTTTATTACCCCTATGTTGTGACAATCAACTCTGTTATACCCTGTTGGTGGTATTTGGCAATAATGCTTATTTCTTGTGATTGTGCTCTATCATGCCTCAAAGTTATGACCATTAATTTGTGGTACAACCGGTATGTACTATATCCATTATTAATAAACTTTCTTCTTATGCATACACATATATAATTTTCCATCCCTAACTTTAAATTGTAGATATAAATAAAATACTTCTTAGTGGCATTGCTATTATATACCTACCTAATTATGAGACTTAATACAAATTTGTACAGAAAAATATTTAATTCTTTTAATTTTCTCTGATGATTATGAAGCCATTTATTATAACTTGAATGTTGTTAAAAAACACTCGAACAAAATATTACACAAAACATGGTACTCTGCCTGTTGACTGCACCAGGATTTTAAGTTGATGTTTTATTCATTACATTATCAAATAATAATTTTATTTTCCCCCTACAAATTGACAGATCATGATATTGCCAATAAAAAGACAAAGTAGCTGAAACTCACTGAAATATTGTGAAGCCTTGTAATATAAGAACATTACTATTTTATTACCTAAAAAATATATTACCATTCCTGATTTATAAATACAAAAACTAATTAAGTACTGGAATATTTTTAATAGAACTGATAAAAATTCAAATACAGTCAAAAGTCTTTAATACGGACTCGTCGAGACTTCGGTGATTCCAGATTATAGATCATCAGTTTAAATCTGGTAAGATGGCATGCAGAAATTATAAAATTAAAAATATGAAACCGTAATTTATGAAATAAAGAGCAGTTATAATCTAAAGGGTATCAAAATTAAAAAAAAAAAAAAAAGCTTAATATTTATTTGTTTACTCTATTAAACATTTCTTTCAATGCGCGCATGCGTAAAGCATACATTACGCATAGTCGAAATTAGGAAATTGCAACTAGAAAACTATTTGATGTGTATTCGTGATATTTATAATGACGAGGAATTTGATTTAAATCATATCAAAGACGGAGTACATCGAAATGAAATACTACATTTAGTAAGGAATTATAAGCCGAATAAAATAAAAACATCTGCTCTGAAGATAAGGATAGTGATGACAGATCAACATCTAGTTCAGGGTGGGGGGGAGGGGAAAACGTAAACAGAGGTGAGCTCTTTAAATCGGTGCATGCTAATGAAAACATTCGCCTGTCTGATTTATATCCATTTCATTTTTTTATTCTATTTTTTCTTTTACTATGTACCGTCTTTTAGGGTTAGTAAGTGGAGTACTGTACGTTTTGCATTGCCTTCAGATATATTTTCATTTTTTTCTCTTTTTATTTCGGAAAGCCTCACCTCCAGTCTATTATGGGGGAAAGGCGCTATTTATCAGAGGAAGAATACCCTTGTATGGTCAATGAACCATTTATTAACGCAGATGAAAGTGATGATTCATTTTCTAGAGAGTTATAAAGTGATACTTTTTCTGAGAGTTAGAAAGTGATACTTTTCCGTGCTTCGAGATTTACCACACTCAGTCTTCATTTTAAATATTTTGTTACTTCTTACTGTAAATAGTCTTTATTGTGTTGTTTTATTAATTTTAAACTTTATTGATGGATTTTATCAATTAAAACTTTGGAATAATTTGAATAGCACTTCCGAAAATTATTTTACAAGATAAACAATTTTTTAGTATATTTTCATGTAAAATAAAGAAAAAAAAAACATTATTAAGTGCTCATTTTGATGTCTATAAGAGCTCAAGTAATAATCTAAAACGATACCAAAAATTGCAATGCTAGAAGCGAAACCTTTTTTTTTTCTGATTTTTTAAAAATAAAATTAGGCTTAACGATGCAAAACCTCCATCCTGTATGGTAACTGCCTTCGATTCCCTTCCGTTCCGCACAAGCATCTTAAACAAAGGTGCACTGTCGCGAAAAGGTTAAAGACTTTTGATTGTATATGCAACATTCTCAAGATGGAAATCAACTATAAAGAAATTCTGAGCAGAAAAAATAAAACTATACATAGCAGCAAAACCAAAAAGTAGCTAAAATGTTTAGTATGGTTTCATGAATCGTAAATCTATTCTTTAAAGTTTATTTTATCAGTTGATTATTGCATAGCAAACAAAGATTTTTTTTTAATCAAAAGGGAGTGAAGTCTTTACAAAGTGCTATCTACGTGCAACTGGCTCATATTTGTATCATGCAAAGGGAAAACATGAAAACATCCATACAGCTAGGCCATTTGTCAGGTTTTGAACCCAAATCAAACAACCACTACTGCCTACTTGGAATTATCCAATCCAAAGGCAACAGTAGCCCTATAACTGGTAGTAATATTCATGCCTACCTGACCCAAAAAGACAATCTCACTGCAAGCATTGCCAAGCTGAGACAGAATACCCACTACCAATATAGTTTGGTGAGCGTGATGTAACATCAAGATCTGCTCATGCCACCCACGTTGGGAAGCCACCGGCAACTTGATGGCAGGCCTGTTAGGTGCTCTCCATCTGGAGAATGTTGCCATTCTTTCACCACACCAAGACTAATGCCTACTATTAGTTTTAACAGCTCTGCCTGATTTCTAAAGAAACATTCAATCAATTCTTTCAGTAATGTACAACTATGGAAAATTTCAATTTAGTTAGTTAACAAAATGCGAGTCATGGTTACTAGTAGTAATTTTAAAGACTGGCATAGTTTGTTCTCAATTTGATACAACTGAGATGCTTTCATAATGGTGCTGGTACCTTAATAAAAATCAGCTGCTGTTCTGAAAGAAACCTCCATAACAGTGTTCAGGCCTAAAGAAAAGCAAAAAAAATTTATGATCACTTCCTAGCTCTAAAAAAAAGCCAACTTCGTAAGGGCGCATGCATTTTTATGCAAGTACAATAGAAGTTCAGAAACCCGCAACGCTTGGGACCAGAGGTTGTGCGGATTTTAGGATTTTGCCGATTTCAGAACAGAAAAGATAATATTCAGACTAAAAGTGCAAAATAAATAAGGCATATTAGATACATATAATTAAATTATTATATACATTAATACAATAATTAATTATATGCATTAAATTATTATTACATATATAAACTGATTATATTATATTGTTCATTTACATTAGGCTCCTCTAGTTTTAAATCAGCATGAATCTGCTTCCCCTTTTCTCTCAGGAGTAGTCCTGAAATAGGTACCCCAACACTCCGCCGCTGCCGGAACCACTCCTACAAGACAGCGTCGAGATTTGCCGATTTCGTCTCATGCAAAGATTTCCGGTTTCGGATTCCGGTGTTAGAATCACTGTTGCTGTAAAATTTCAGCAGCTTTTCTTTATTGTTACATATATCATACACAGTCCGTGTGGCAATCCCCATACGATTCTGCTATAAAATGAGCAGTAGCACCTACCTCCATCTTTACCAGAATTTCCACTTTTTTCATTACCATCAATGCAAAGTGTTTATATTTTTCAACATTGCAAGCAACAACAAGCAGTAAAATCACGAGCATGTTTCTTATCTGTCATTGTATTAAAAAGCGCTGAAATTAAAAATATTCTTAATTTACCCACAAAATATAAGGATAAAAAAACAGACACCACTAAACAATCTTGTGAAATAACAAAGCTCAGAAAGTACAATAACGTGAAGCATGAACTTGAAAGAAGAGTTGAGTTAATCATCTGCTTTTTACCTCAATGCAGATTGGAGGGAAAAAAATTCTTATCATGATGTCAAGAATTTGGTATTTCCATTATGACACGTTATTACTTGGTAATTATGACATCATTATCCAGTAAGTATTTTTTCTTCAGTATTTCGTACTCCATGTTGTGGTTTCCAGAACCTATAAACTAAATGTTTATATTTTGAGAGGCAACGTGGATTTCAGGAGTTGGCAGATTTCAGGTCGGCGGATTTTCGGTATTTGACTGTACTACTATTTAATTAATTAAGCAAGAGATGAAATAAATCTTCAACATCTTTATGAAAAATGTTAAATTCTTATAAATTTTTCTGCATGTTTATGAAAATCACTAGATTGGCATAACGGTGCCTGCACTTTTTGAAAATGTCAAATTCATCAAAAGAATCAATTTTTCAGGTTGTGCTTCTCAGGAGACTCAAATATTTCAATAAATTAAATCTTATTTTCAAAGAAATGGCAAAGTGACATATGACACATATGAAAGATGCATATTCATATATGAAACTGGCCATTCCCCTGAAGAATTCTGATCTCAGAGCAATTATTTTCCTCATCAATTTGTTTATTTTCTCATTTTAAATTAAAATTTAACCACCAGACTAAATTTTTTTTTTCCTCTCTTTAGTTGGCACAACTTTTTAAAACTAAAATCTAGCACTAACACTGCTGAGATTGTTAAATGTATTGAACAAAATAAATTAATACAATCCAGGAACAAGTTTAACAAACAAAAATCAATTAAAATATGACATGAATGTGAGAATTGTAAAAATTGCCAAAAGTACTTGTGAAAGAGTAGCCAAATTACTGCTGTTGAAGAGTAAGAGCTGAAATGAAAACAAGAATAAAGTAAGAAAATGATGCTGTCAATTAAATAAATTCAAATTAGACTACCATTAGGGAGTGTTTAATTTGAAATTATTCCCTTAAGTAACATCAAGTGTCACAAAAATTGCTTTTCTTGGTGTTCTATTCTGTGTAAATGTTTGAACAGATACTAAAAGTTTTGTTTAGAATTTTTTAGTATCTGAACATTTTTAAAAATGTTTTTCTTAACACTCCACCAAAAAGGAATTTAACATTAATTAGGAGATAGTATTAGTTTTTTAGACCTTTATGTATACAATTTAAGGTTCCTTACAAATGTAGGAGTACTGTTCTTGATTTTCAGACATTTAAATTTAATAAATAAATTTGCTTTTGATTATCAAACGGATGTAAAACTGATGTGTAAATTATTTAACTTCAAATCAAACACACCCCTGATGATACTCCAATTCAAATTTATTCACCTGACAGCATCTTTCTCTTATTTTATTAACTAATTTTGTTTTCCATTTAGCTCTTTCTTATTCTTTAATGACGAGAATTCAGCCACAGGTATTTTAATAATTTTTACAATTTTCACATGAATTTCCTATTTTAATTAATCTTTGTTTATTAAACAAAGCCTTCCTGGATAGTATTAATTTATTTTGTTTAATGTATATATGAATACATAATTTTATTTTTTGTTAAATTTAATTTTAATTAAATAAATTTATTTTTTTATTTTTTATTGAATTTTATTTTTATATTTCTTTTATTTTATAATAAATTTATTTTAAATTAAAAATTAATAAAATGTCTTACACTAAATCATCTAAATGGTATCAGATTTACATGTTTTTATATGCTCTATCTAAATGTTTAAATAACCGGATTTCCTTTGTCTATCAATTGTACATATTGATTTCAAAAATAAAAAAGGCTCTTTTCGTATAAGGAGTGGAATGTATCCCCTCTCTTCATTTTATTTTGTTCTCTTTTCCAGAGTTTCCAAATTTTTTTAGCACCCCAACATAAAACTGTGATTATTAATTTTTTTTTAAACAGTTCATGATACCGTGATTAGCCATACATTTTATAATGAACTCGTGGTCTTTCTTCACACAATTCAGTATTATTTTTCATAATTTTTGCATTCTGATTACAGTTTCTGATTTTCTAGATAATTTCTTGATCCTGTTATCTTATTTAGTTATTAGAAACTCAATTTCAAAACTAGTATCATTATTATTAGAAGCATTTTGAAGGCGTGAAAATAATTCTGGATATTGCCTTCTAATTTTTGCTTATTTTTTTCTACCCAATTGGTTTTTAGGCTCCCAGAGAGAAAAATTTTCTTGCCATTGAGATTATGAGTATACATATATACTTACTTACCACCAGCTGAGTTGCTGTACCGCCTGTTATATGACTATCAGCATTTGTACTCAACTGGTGGAGCATTCTATTGTCTCTAGGCCTAGCCAAAAATCTTTAGAGAATATTAAAATTTAATTAAAAATCAAATAAATTTGTAGCTGAATTTTATAAAGTCGCTTCAGAAGATAGGTATTTGTGACCTGTGGTTATTAAAGAGACTCTGCCAAGACCTTTGACTGTGTGGAATTTTTTTTTTTTTTTTTTTTTCAAGATTGCTTTTAGATTTTCGCAGTTCATTGCCTATATGAGTTTTAAGTTTGTTTCGTACTAGCTTACTCTTTTGGAGTTGTTTCAGCCATACCTAGGCATTTTCAGCTGAGTACAGCCAGAAATGTAGGTCTTTGGTGTTTTCACCCTCGAACATATAGTGAATGATGGTAGCTATTGAGCCACATATGCATGAGTCTGTATGGTGCAATCTGAAGTGAAACAGGCTGCGAAAGGGCCATATGCCGTCAGGAAATGTGTCATTGCTCTGCCTGTAGTGGTTAATTCCCTTGAGGGCACTGGAAGGAAATTAAATGTTCTCCTGCATGTTAGCACTTGTGTCCAGTTAGTTTTCCACATGGACATAACGTCCTGTTTCAGTCTTGATTTAAGATGTGATAACAGAATTGGCAGAGAGATGGCTGGGGTAAATTGTCCATTTGCACTGTCTTGCCAGTTGGTCGGCTGCTTCATTGCCCACTGTATCACACTGTCAGAAATTATAATGCTTTTTTCTTGTAGTTTGCTGGCAAATTTCACAGCTTCTCTAATGGCTAACAGTTCAGTTTAGAATACAGAATTTGCGCTGTTAAGCTTTGCCTGCCATGTTTTAAAGAGTAAATTAATTCTGTAGGCACAGTAGGCACTTCTGACACCCATTTTAGTTTTTGATCCGTCTGTACTGTTATTGCATTAAAATATACTTACCTAATTTACAGTAATTATTAATCAGTAACTGAAATAAAGTTGGACTTGTATATGGGTACCTACACCTTTATGAAAAATGTCAGATTGGCATAACAGTGCCGAAGATCAGTTCAAACGAGAAACTGATCTTCAGTTTATGCATGCTTCCTTATGCCAGTGCACTCATAAGCAAGTTTCTGTCTTTTCAAATATTGAATACAAAGAGTCTAAGTATAGATTGATGAATTATGGCTGAAATCTATCAACAGGTATAATTAAAGAAATAATGTAAAGAAACCAAATAATTCTGTACAAATGTATGCAGCATATTTTAGTAGAAATATTTTTTATTAATCACAATCGTTCTTCTATTAATGCTTACAGTAATGCTGCAAATGTTTACAATTTTCAGTCTTTATTACAAAAAACTCCTATTTTACATTATATCAGTTATATTGCTACTAAATATAACATAAAAAATTAAATTATTAAGAATGAATTTGTTGACACAAATGAATGCTCAGGCTAAATGGACGATGGATGGCATGGTCCATTGTCCATTCAGACTGAATATAAGAAAATGCAATATAATGGCCACTGAAAATTTGAAAAAGACCCCATTAAAGACATAATCTAATGTCAAAACTTCCGAGCACAAGCATTAGTCATGATTATATAAATACTGTAAAACTGATATGTATTGCCACCATTGGTGAAATACTAGGTAAGAACCTATGCTGCTCAATTCCTAAAAATTCTTTAATTTATACATACTTTAATGTAAAATAACTGAAATAAAGATAGCTATTCAAATTTTTCAATCACAGGACAGTAAAAACAGCATCCAATGTCATTAACAGAATTTATGATGCTTCATATATGAATTAGAATGCACAGTTAAATTTTGCATACTTTTTAAATTCAGAATGCTATGTAATTCATCATAACATAGGTTTAGTAAGAAAAAATGAATAGCACTTACTATAACATCTTTTGTAGAAGGAATGACAGAGAAAACAAAGCCCAATTTATTAGATTTGCGAAATGTTACAACACTGTAAAGAAATACATATTATTATTAAATTACATGATTAAATTTGTGCACTATGTATGTATTACAGACAAAAAGGCACACGAAAATATACCATTACATATTGCTAGCAAATATTTATCTCACCACAGTATATCCAGTTTAAAAAAACAATAAACAATCCTTACGAAACTTCATGTGCAATGCATATATAGCTTTACAAGGACAATAAATGTTCTTTTTTATTACAGTGATTTAACAAATTGCCTACACTTTGATGCAATTGTACATGCATCTGTTTCAATATATTATACAACAGCTTCTTGTTTGGACAACTGCCTAAAATTGTTATAAAAAAAGAATATATAATGATTTTATATAATAATAAATGAGAGCCAGTGTAATTCATAAAAGTATTTAATATTTCTAATGAGACATTTCATAATTTAAATCAATCAGATTAAAAAATAGGAAAAATATTCTTATGAACATTCTTAAAACATTTTAATGCTTTTAAATCCCCTAGTTTGTTATACTACAGCACACACATTAAATTTGAAGTATCTTACACTTTACTGAACAGCAGCACTATCACTTGGAAGATAAACTGAAACATTACATTTTGATGAACGGCAACAGCTCAGCATGTTGGTGACAAAAACGTTTTGTTTCGTGCAGTGTTGCCAGAGCTTACTTTTAAACTTTTGAGTTTGATAATCAAATTGTCATACAATTCAAATAAAATATGAAACAATTTCAAAACTTTGACTTCAAGGTGCACTTGCTTGAGTGGAGGATTACATGGCTTCAGTATCTGGTAGTTCTAGGTGCAATTGTCTGTAATGCGAGAAATGTGCAAACATATATAAATACCCATTCTTCCTTATTCAATAAAAGAGATTTTTTATGATTCAATATATTATTATTTTCAAGGTATTTTCCTAGGTAATAAACATACAGGCCATATGTTTGTATCAAATTTTCACAGATATACTTGCTGTGTATGCGTACTAAAATACAAGAATTTAGTTTTGAGGTTTCAATAAAATACCTGGATTATTACAATCAAAGTAAGTTGTTTGGGGAACATGAAAACTTTCTTCCTGAAAAACAACCTTCAATATTATTTATGTCTTGCAGTAAATATTTCTTAGATGTCTGCTGATTTTAAAGAAAGTCAAAGTTTAGTACATAGATTCATATACAGTCAAAAGTCATTAATTCGGACACCCATAATCTGGACCTCAAAGCTAAAATCTTTCTGCACAAGCGGCGCGTTGACGCTTGTGCATAGACATTTTATGCGTGCGCACAAGACATTTACGACTGCGCATATGCGTCTGCGCAAGCGCAGAATACGTTTTCGCGTGCACGTTTAATGTATAACAGACGGTATAAGCTAAAATTATCTAATTATCTATTTCAGTTAATGTTGATGATTGCGTTGTTCCTTAATCTTCGAATTGGATCCGGCTTATTATTTTTTGCAGACTGTAAGAGCAATTTTATAAAAGTAAGCTTGAACTTTTGATTATGTCAAATAGAATTTCCGATGCTGGAGCTCCCAAAGGATCTAGAAAACGAAAGTATGTTTCGATATCCATCAAACAAAAAACGAATTGCTACAAAAAATGGATAAAGGCATATCGTTTGTTTCTCTAACCATTCTGAAATCTGTTTATCAATTTCACACTGCTCTGCGGAGGGGGGGGGACAACATCGCGGCGCGCAATGAACTGGAAGTTGATCTGTCAGCACTATCGTTATCTTCAGGGCAGATGTTTTTATTTTATTCGGCTTATAATTCCTTACTAAATGTAGTATTTAATCTCGATGTACTCCGTCTTTGATATGATTTAAATCAAATTCTCGTCATTATAAAATATCACGAATACACATCAAATATTTTCTGGTTGCAATTTTCTAATTTCGGCTATGCGTAAGGTATGCTTTACGCATGCGCGCGTTGAAAGAAATGTTTAATAAAGTAAACAAATAAATATTAAGCTTCTTTTTTGGTAAATTTTGATACCCTTTAGATCATAATTGCTCATTATTTTATAAATTACGGTTTCATATTTTTAATTTTATAATTTCTGCATGCCATCTTACGAGATTTAAACTTATGATCTATAATCCGGAATCGCCGAAGTCCCGACGAGTCCGGATTAAAGACTTTTGACTGTACTAAACTTTGACTAAAAATCTTAAATTTCATGTTTAGGCTTTTGCAAAAATTAGCTTTTATGTCTGAAATAATCAGCCTTTCATCTAAAGTTTATTCTACTAAACTTACCGTACACACTATTTAGATGGAATTTTAAGACATTCAAGATTCTTATTTACTTTACAACTTTTTATCTTTCAGTTGTTAAACCTTGATTTTATTTTAATCCTATAAAAGAAACATTCTCGAGAGAAATTTCATCAAATTTTTAGCTAGCTTATTGGTTGCATTTTGCTGTATAATTATGACATAGAATATTTTTTATTTTTTAATTTGATAGTATCTATTTAAAGCATGCATGTCTGTAATTTTCCACATGCAAAACGTCTCTTAGTATCCTATGCACACAAAAGACACCATTCTGAATGAAGCTGGCAGTGAATAGTGTTCTGTTGGGCAATGGAAATGCTTAATTATATTAAGCAGTTTGCTATTACTTTCAAGGCTGAGTGGAGGTTGCCAGAATTGATGCAATATGTGTGGCCACACTGAGCAGTACAAAATCTACAGTTGGTCTTGCTTATTTGTTACCTGAATGCAAGAGATGTGATATCAGCACAAACTGATCTAGGATGATAGAAAATTTCATAAGCTGATGAGTCTGTTTATGAAATACTAAGAGAATGTACATGATAAACCCTCTAAGGCTTGTCATTTGTAATCACCAGTAATACTGTGTTTGCAGTAGACACCCATGATTCATGGAAACAAATGATTTACAATTTTGTGCAAGCTTTGCAATCAGTTTTTTTTTTTTTTTAATTATATCAGAAACCTTGGGCTACAATAAATTATAAAATTATATATTTAACAGGTTCCAAGGATGTCCACTCAGAAGATAAAAATATAGCAGTATTTTGATAGTTTTGATTTAATACCATAAGATGATGAACTCTTGAGTTACACTGCCTTGTGGATGATCCATCACTAACTTCTGAATTCAGTTCCAGCTGTCCTTGGAGTGGAAATATCAATATAAAAAGGAAATTCAGACAAACAATTTTAACGTCTGGGGTTGTAGAAATCGTGTTACAGCAGATACTGAGTTTTGCTGGTGAATTTTATGGAACAATAAAATTACTGCATGTAGTCTAATTTTGAGGAAATCTTGCTATACAATTTAGAACTGATGTGACATGCTATTTGCATAAGACTGTTTACAGTTTTGTTGCTTCATAACAATACAAAGCTCTGTACTGCTGCTGCAACATGAGTTTTAGTTCAACCTTTCGACTAGCAGTAACTCGAAAAATCTCGAAAAATGACCAGACCACATACTGATAGACTAGCACATCTTCATGCATCTGAAAAGTTTGCTGGCAGCAGTTGTTTCCAAACAAATAATGAAATAAAATAGGAATATATATTCTCTGAGACAGCATACTTTTATGACACTTGTCTCAGACTACAACAAATGTTTAACAATTACAGAAACTACATGGAAAAGCACAGAAGCTACAGTTATGCACAATTAGAAAAAAATGAAGTACCCAAAATGTTAAATAATTCAATTTTTTTATTATAAAATGGTATTTACTCAACCTAGTGTATGAATACACAATATTTATCTGAAGAAATAGTTATGCTCTTGTTTACATTACATGCAGATGCTCTGCAGTTGGCATCAGCACATTGTCAGCCCCAGTACACAAGAAAATTAGCTCTTCACAACCACATTTTAGGTAAATGACTCACACAATTAAAACTTATATCATAAATATATACAAGCCATCATTTCTAAATTGTAATGAAGTTCTTTTTATTGTGAATAATTAAATCTACAATAAACATCAGAAGTTTAAAAACATTTGTGCAGCAATATTATTATTATTTTTTTTAATAATTCTAAAGCAATTTCACTGACATTGTAAGATTAATAGCTAGATAGAGAAAGAAGTGATAATTTTTTAAAGATGGTTGATTTGGAAAAAAGACTTTTGCAAAATGTATTTTGATAAAAATATAATTTTATAATCAGGGTTGCCACTCAAAAAGGAGAATGAAATTCCCTGACTTTTCCAGGTTTTCCAGGTGTGTTTCAAGAAAATTCCAGTCTATCCGCATAATGTACGTTGGCTGTGCTAAGAGGGTAAATTAATTATGGTATTACTTGTATTGTGTAGCAAATTCACTTAATTATTCAATAAATCCCAGAGGACATTTATTCTTAATTATTCTTGGTTATACTTTGTTTGAAATTTTGTTTAGTTTTCCACTTAAGAAACTTAATAAATTTAAGATATATACATTGGATAACAAATGTATGTTTTATTTAATTATTACTCATGATCATCACCAGTTTTTAACACGAGGCTAATCCGGTCCTTATAAATCACAATGCAATGCTAAATAGTTAGTTAGATTTTAGGTAAATTTAATTTGCGTGAGGTGGTATGTTCTTAAAAGGCACCTTCTTAACACTTGAAAACACAAATATAATTATAATAGTTGTTGTTTTCTCCACTGAAGATTGAGATTAGAATCTTCCCAATCTGGAATAAAATAAGGCTTTTTTTTTTTGCAGACATTCTGCAGCTAAACGAAAGAAAGAAATCTATTTTAATAAATTGAGGTATTTTATATTATTTCGCAGCATACATAAGGAAAAAATATGTGCATTTTAAATTTCGTGATGGTATGTCATCATACTGCTATAATTAATTTCAGGATTATGCCAGAGAAAATTTCCTGAAATTTGGAAATATTATTTTACTAATGATAATAAATTTAGAGGGAAGAAGCACATTAAATTATATGAATAACATAAAAATAATTACTTAAAAATTGAATTATAATAATCAACGATATTTTAGCGAATATAGTTATATTACATGGCTAGCCTAGATGACTGATTACTATTTTTTTATTTTACTGCAAAATGGCAAGGTATTTATTAAGAAGAAGGAAAAAAAAAGGTTTAAAAAGATTTTGCGGTAAAATTCTAGTATACGGTAAGGCTTTGGCACGATTTTGAAAATTGTCGCCAAGACCAAATTGACCCGTTTACTGCGCATCATGTCGCCAAATCCCATTGTACCATACATGGAGATTATTCTAACCAAAGAACGTCTATGCAAAGAATCTCTAATTCTTTGGTCTATGTAAAGAAGAAAAGGTTCCATACAAGTAAAATGCTATTACGCCGCTAGAAAGCGGAGAGAAAATATGCCAAGGGATTTGGCGACGGAATTTCCCTCTCCGCGATGTGTACCGGAAATTGAGAAACGTGTTAAGAAGAAACGTTCTTTGACAAAAAGAAAGCTACGAAAATCCGTTTTTAAATTATTGCGAAAAATCCAAGAAGAAAGGTTTTATCAAAGGACATTTCTTCTTAGATTTTTCGCAATAATTTTAAAAACGGATTTTCGTAGTTCCCCCCCTGAAAATTACTTACCCATGAATTAATTTACTTGCGCCAAAAAATATTTTCTTTCCCCTTAGAGTTTAACCACTTGCGCTAAGTCTACACTTCACGGTTGCGGTGCCGTGTGCTACAATATAGCAAGCGGTAAAGTGTCTCATTTACGCCGCTCCGCATCTGCGAGTGCAATCCAGAGCTGTAACTCGAGAAATAAACAATCTCGTTGTTAGGCGACGTGTGCACCACGTTATTTTCATTTTTGCGATAAATGCTTATCGACGTGGTGTTCACGTCGCTCGCGGTTTGAGACAAAAGCATCTCGACATTTTCGAAGCATTTTCGAATTCCCTGACTTTTCCCGGTTCTCCAGGTAGCGTGGCAACCCTGTATAATGAAAATTTTAAGTAATTTTTTATAATAATTTTAATTACAAAACTTCAAGTCTTAAATTGAGCAACTAATAAAACCTAAATCTGATACCTGTGTCAGAGGTAAAAATAATATGTTTGTATTAAGAACTAAAGATGAATTTAATTTTTAATATGGGACATAGAAATTTATTTTATTTAGTATTTAACAAGATACTTTGGGAAATTAAAAGCATCCACACATATAGTATTCAAAATGATTTTGAATAGACATAGTAAGTAAATATTATTGTTAATCCAATTCTATTTATGCAGGAAAATAATTCAGAATTTAGTAAATTATACATCACATACTACAGGTATTTCATTTTCAATCATACAATAATTCCAACCAAATTATTATCAATGAGAAATCCAGAAAATACTTGATACTGAGTTTTCAGTGCTAGCAATACCAAGCTGTGCACTTACTTTGGATCATCTTTGAAATTTTGAGAATCATTTGTATCATCAAATTCTGCTGTATCATCTCTTGGAGCTAAAAGTAATTCAGAAGGTGGCAATTTGACCTAAAAGGCAGTGCTTTATTAATTTCATACTGGTTTAATAACAATACAGAACTACTACATTTAGATTTGTAATCTAATATTAAAATGAAATTTACTGTAGATAGATTTTCTGGCTGTGTCTCCAAGGGCTTGAAAGTGACATGAGATGGATGAGGAGTAGGATTGATCAAAACCATTTCTATTCTACAAACCTAAAATAAAAGTAATTCAAAGCCACATAAAAATGAACAACAGATTTTAAACTATGGTAATGATGTTTGTCTAGTAATACAGATAATTAATTTTTTTCCTAAATACAGTCAAAAGTCTTTAATCCGGAATGATCTATAATCCGGATCTCAAAGCTACAAACTTTCTGCGCATGGGTCAATGCATAATGTGTTAATGCATGCGCATAATACCTTTATGCATGCGCATAATACTACCAAAGGATCTAAAAAGCAAAAGCATGTTTCGATGTCCATCAAACAAAAAGTGGGATTGCTGCAAAAAATGGATAAAGGCATATCCTTTGATTCTCTAACCATTCTGAAATATGTTTATCAATTTCACGCTGCTCTCCGACTGGGAGGGGGGGGGGACGCAGCGTGCAATAAACTGGAAGTTGATCTGTCAGCACTATCCTCATCTTCAAAGCAGATTTTTTATTTTATTCGGCTTATAATTCCTTACTAAATGTAGTATTTCATCTCGATGTACTCTGTCTTTGATATGATTTAAATCAAATTCCTCATCTTTATAAATATCACGAATACACATCAAATAGTTTTCTAGTTGCAATTTTCTAATTTAGACTATGTGTAATGTATGCTTTACACATGTGTGCATTGAAAGAAATGTTTAATAAAGTAAACAAATAAATATTAAGCTTTTTTTTTTTAAATTTTGATACCCTTTAGATCATAATTGCTCTTTATTTCATAAATTACGGTTTCATATTTTTAATTTTATAATTTCTGCATGCCATCTTACCAGATTTAAACTGATGATCTAAAATCCGGAAACGCCGTAGTCCCGACGAGTCCGGATTAAAGACTTTTGATTGTATATACAAGCCACAAACAATTTCTTAAACAAGTGCAGACAACTTAATTTAGTGCAATTCTGCGAGCGAAGTTGTCACAAAATAAATCTAACATATTTCGCTTCTTATTAGAAGTTTATACAGTTTTCAAATGTTTAAACATCTTGTGGGTGTAACTAGTCAAAGTAAAGTCCGACACTAAAAATGTACGCAGCAAGATTCATTATTTCCACTAAACGAGTTAATAAATATTAAAAACATTATTCATCAAAATTAAAAAGCTAATTTTACTGCAATGCAAATCCTAGTGATCATTTTTGAGAATTTATTATTATTATTATTATTTAGTGAATTTTATTAATTTATTCAAAAGACTTTTTAAAATTTTGCAAATATTAAATTTTATTATAAATATCAAATAAAATTATGGACATATTCTCTCTTAATAGCAAATTGATGAAATAGCAAAATTTGTCCTGACAATTATTTCCTAGTTCTGCATACACATTTACCTTTAATGAAACTAAACGTCTGCCTATATCAAACTGCTGTAGAAAATCAGATATGGCATTAAAAGAGTTGTTATTATTGCTTTTGAAAGAGGTAAAAACTAAAAATGTTAATTATAAATTAAATTTGGTACTTACATATTATCGCAACCAGGTTGGCGCGATTTGTAAGTTTGAGTAAAAAAGTATGAATAGAACAAAATGTACATTTATAATTACAGATAATTTTTAATACAGTTTTTTTATTTTTTTGTTTTAAAATATAAAATAGCAATTAAACCCTTCCGGTTTCGAATTTGAATAAGTTGCAGAATTATTTTTTCGGCGGAAATCTTTTGGCTATTGCTTTTAGCACTGATTGAAAACTGTCTTCGCCATTAACAGCTTGAGCTTGGCGCCATATAAATTCGATACGGTAAAGTCTTTACACCAACAATAAATGAAGCGCACCGCTGTCACAAATAAAATTCGGCTACCTTCAAAACAATTTCCGGTTCCCACACCCAAATGTTGATTGCACTCTTCGACATTACATTTCCAGAAGATTTGCTTTCCAAAATACAGTTTCATTTTATGAGAATTTTTACAAGTACGTTTGTTCGGTATAATTCCATATCCCTGCAACAATTCAACAGCATCTTTTTCACTCGCAGGCATATCCCAAATACCCATAGTTAAAGTATTTCAGGGCATTCAATCTAACCAGTAAGAAAAATAATTTCTTTATGAAAAACTACCTATAACACGTAGGGTTGCCGTAAGTAGGGTCGCCAAATTTGGCGATTTATGCGATTTTTGGCCTGGTTGCGTTAATACGTAAGTACCTTAAATTTAATAGCCTTTTAAATATTCCACTGCATTAAAGAGTATGTTAAAATTTGTATTTCTCTATTTATAAATATACCTTTTGTCTAACATATATTTGTAAGCACATGGAATATATTTTTATCACCCTGTTTAACTTCAATAGGAATGCCACTTTAAAAGATAATATTTTTTGTAAGAAATGTCCTAGAAGTTGGAAAACAAACTCTGGTGAATTTTTTAGACAATACCACACTGAAATAGGACCAAAAAATTTAGTTTTAAGAATTCATTTACTTGATGATGTAACCCAAAATTGCAAACCACACTCGTATGATGTTGTACTTTAGTGGTAAAGCTGACGGTAACGTGGTTTACTTTTTGTAGTCGCGAGTTCAAACCTCATTCGCTTTTTCCACCCTTTCTGCAACTTTCTTAGCTTCGTGTTTTAATTTGATCTATATTTCTGCTTTATAATTTATTTTTATTTTTATATGCATTAAATTTAATGTTTTATTTCTGCTCATGTTTATTTAAATTTTCACCCCACAAAAATTTTGAAAATTATATAATACGAATTTAAAGTACATATATTATATAGATATATTTTCGTTTCACTTTTATGTGAATGTACAGACATGTGCTCAGACTTTGCTTCCAGCTGTAAACTTTCACTACCAATTAACATGAGACAGTATTAATACCCTAAACATTTTTTTTTTATAAAACTTACTATAATAATTGGTTTTAAATTCAGTCCTCTCCAGCTGAAGCAGAGAGGAATTAATTAAATATTTCCATTTTCATTACCTAATGTGTTGCATATATATATATATATATATAATATATATATAAGCTATTAAATAGAAAAAGCTTATTTTTATAACTTCTTCTATAAAAAGAGATATGAATTAAAAATTTTTTAATTAAAAATAATATTTTATGGATTACACATAAAATATAACTGCGCATAGTGCATTTTAAAACAAACGAGATTTCTAACAAATTATCCAGCTATGACCCTGAAGAAATTAAAAATGAAGAAATCGATGCTAAAATTTTATATATTACCTGCTTTCTCCCTAAATTTGGGCCATTTTAAAAAGATACAAGCTCACATGGCAGTAAATGGTATTACAAGCATAGCAAGTTTTGTGTAAATATTGTGAACCTTTTTTTACAGTTGCTCTGTATTTTAAAGTACCAACTATTTTTGGTTCTACTCTTATATGTACCCTAAGATCACCAAACGTGGCGATATGTGTTCTGTGCTGGTTTTTGGTATGATTTCATGCTATGGGATGGTTTGGTGGACGATGCTGTTTGTATGGCAACCCTTTTGACATTGAAACTTAACTCTTTTGCTGCAGTGGTTTAGTTGCTCGTTGGTTCATGTTGTGCATGTTTCGAATGTTGCAATGAGAGACGTAGTGGCAAGATTTCAGTCGCGTATTTTAGATTGTGTGCAAAGTATATTTAGTATTAAAAGGTACGATGTTGGAGTTGTTAACGTGTCTTTTATTCACGGGTGTATTTATGCGAATAAAAGTGCATTTATGGAATTTCTGTGGGAGTCAGGACTTTTAAAACGGAGTTTTGCATGTTCGAAATGCAGAGTTGATACGAGAACTCGGATGAAGGATGTTATTTCTGATAGACTTGAGTGGGTTTGCAGTCAAATGGTTGCTGGTAACGTATGTGGCTGTCATTAGAGTTTAAGATTTGAATCACAGTTTTCGTGTAGTAAGTTAACTTTGGAGGAAGTTTATATCGTTACTTTTGAAATTTTGAGTCACAGAAAGACATGTGATATAGCAAAATTGTGGCACTTTTGTTCACAGATGCTGTGTGCCTGGCAAAATTTTATTCATGTATGTGTTATGGTAAGTGCATTTTATTTTTTATTGTTTTTATTTTGTAGAATGTTATGTTCATTGTTTTTTTTACTATGAATTTCTGTTGTTATTTTAACTGTTTGTAATTTATTTTAGTTTATTTTGTCGATTTGTGCGCAATGCCTAGATTGTGCAATTCGTAGATGTTTTTTTAAGTTTAAACAGAATGCTGTGTACATGGTATTCTTTGAAAGTTTATTGTTGTTATGTTAATTTATTGAAGCGAGGTGTGCATAGTTCGTAGATTCCTTCGCTGTCTAGAATGTGCAATTTGTATGATTAGTTTATGTTTTAATAAAAAATTATTAAATATGACTCATTATTTGAATACTCATTTTGTAGATATCTCAACTGATGGAATATTATAGAGTACTTGCTCAGCGAGACAAGTTGGAGAAAGAAAAGAAAAAAGGCAATCAGCGTTATGCATATGTGCACATTTCAGTAAGTATATTTAATAGTCAATATTTTAAATGGCAAAGAACAAAAAGAAACTAGAAGCAATATTTATCATTTCCATGCCTTGACAAGTGTTGTCATTGCATGAAACACAAGAGCTTTAATTTATCTTTCATACATTATTGCTGTATATCATATCATAAGTTTATCTTTCAGACTTATTCCATGTTTGATTGATTAATAACCTGAACAAGTTTAAAATATTAAATTCATGTTTTAATAGTATAAATCTTTATTTTACTTTTTAATAACATACCTTATTGATATAAATTAAATGTTATTCCTATATATCTCATTGTTTTGTATATAGAAAAAATTGCTGCTGCTTGTCGTAATGAAAATGAAAGATGTTTTTGTGCCTCCCCCCCCCCGTGATGATATTTTGCACTTTTTAAATTAAATTTTCAATGTAAAAACTGTTTTATGGAAATTTGAAATTGGAATGAATGAATGTTCTATGTTCTATGTGCTGTATTGATTATCACTATATAGCATTTATA